CAATATTTAAAGAAACTAATTCAGACCATTCACTAGAAAGTCAAATACTGAAGCTAACACTTAAACACTTTTGCTATATGATGAGAAAACAGAACTCATTGGAAAAGACCCTGATGTCAGGAAAGATCGAAGGCAAAAGGAAAAGGGGATGGCAGAGGATGAGATGGATAGATAGTGTCATGGAAACAACAAACATGAACTTGGATAGACTTCAAGAGATAGTAGAGGATAGAAGGACCTGGCATGCTATGGTCCATGGGATCACCAAGAGTCAGACATGAATGAACAACTCAACAACAACACAAGTCCTGTCTGTCTCAGTCTCCACCTCTGTAAAATGACTACAATAGCCCTACTTCCCAGGGTTGTGGTGAGGATCAAATAATATACATGTACAGTGTTTTACAGATCTTAAGTCCCTGTAGAAATGCTAGCTATCAGCTTTAATGACTGGGTTTTACTACATCTGTCTGGCTGTTTAGAGGTCTTGTCTGCTTATTTCCTTTTTAGGGATGGTGTTCTGGATAGGCGAAGCTGCTGAAGAGCCATGTTCCAGAAAGATAAGTTGTTGGGTCACAACTCAGCTATTTGACTTTATTTAGGACTTTATGGACAGAGGGAATTTAACCCATCCAGTCCACACAATCTGAGGCCCACTGCTCCTCCCCTTCCTCATCCTAAGAAAGTACTCTAGAGAATCTTACAATAACAAAGGAGTGGAGATTCCACCCCCAATTACCCCTTTGAGCCACCTCGGTGCCTCTGAGCCTAAATGAATTGCTGCCTGCCCTGCCTGCCCCACCCCAAATCTAGATGGATTTGAACACAAAGTATTGGCTGGAAAGGAAATATGGCTTTGGAGTGTAAATGATCGAAAGCAAACAACTCTTTCAAGCTGAACGCTGTGAACACCGGGAGAATGTCAACAACCCTTATGTTTTCTCTATTATCTCCCCGGATCTTATTTCATGGGCAATAGCAGATGTGTTCTTTCTCCTAATATGAGGAGGAACTAAAAGGAAAGTCAACATAATTCAGACACAGGAATCGGCAGGATCATTCATGGCGCCATATTCATGAGAAGAGCATTCATCACTTGCCTCTTTCCAACTCTTAACTCTCTTATGTGTCTCAGTGTTTTAGTCCATTACATGGGCACGTTTCTGGGAACTTTGCTAGCTCTCACCTCCGCCCCCAACTGAGACATCTACCCAAATCTCTCCTTCAGATACGCAAAATGAGAATTAGGAAAGACTAACTCCCAGTCTTAATGAGGGCCCCTGTGGAAAAAGTGAGAAACTTCAGGTCACACTTAGCTCTCCTTTCAAAAACGCACCAGGACACACAGAAGCCAGCCATGAAGACTCATATTTCTTTGCATTCTATTCTCAGATGAGTCAAGTACATGGATTTGATTTGAAATGCAGGTAAAAGCATTGCTGAACTATTAAAATGGAAAAATGGAAAATATTTTGCTTTCCAAAGTGAAAGTTTTTTAAACCCTCATAATGATACAAACACTGTATTTTACCACAGAAAATGACTGAGAGTCACTGCTGAGTGTGTCAATTTTGACGTAAATGCTGTGACGGTTCTTTATTAGTCTTTCAACACCTTTCTACACCTTTCCATGCTGCAGACATAAGCCCCGAAGGCCAGGTTTTCTCATGTGGATTTGGCTCCTGTGGAACCCCCTTTTTTTGAGATGTAAAATGAAAATTTACTAACATCCAGTTGTCTGTACATGTTCTGTAATTAAGAATCAGGTGTGACCTTAAATGCTTTATCATCAGGGCAATGTGCAAGTTCAAATATGTTTTGGTCTCCAGCTTTCCTACTTTGGAATGAGGAGAATTTTGGTAATTACATCTCCAAACACTAAGGCCAGTTGAGGCAGGTTCAGAAGGAAAGAAAAGCTTAAAAGCTGGGTTTTGTTGTGCAACTTTGAGGAAAATTGTGGTGCTCCTGTCATTTCAAGGCCCCTTTAGAAAACTGGTGTCAAGTAACACTTTAAAGGCCCAAGGGAAAATCAGGTATTTTAACTCTGTAAGTGTCCTATCCAATAGTAGATGGGGGAATAATCGATTCAAATATTTATTAGGCACCTATTATAGGCAAAGTACTATGCCAGGCACTGGGGATACAGTGATGGGAGGCTATGTGCACCCAGACAAGTCTTCAGACTGTTAATTGGATGTTAACTGAGAGGCTGCATAGTATGTCCTGAATACGGATTCAGTAAAAATGTGAAAGTTTTGTTAGGGAAGCTAGGTGGCGCAGTGGATAGAGCACCAGGCCTGGAGTCTGGAAGACCCCAGTGCAAATCCGGCCTCAGACACTAATTATCCATGTGACCCTGGGCAAGTCACTTTACCCTGTTTGCCTCAGTTTCCTCATCTGTAAAATGAGCTGGAGAAGGAAATGGCAAATCACTCCAGTGTCTCTGCCAAGAAAACTCCAAATGGGGTCATGAAGAGTTGAACATGACTGAACAACAACAAATAAACTTTCTTAGCTACTATAGATATAACCTCTCTGAGCCTCAGCTTCTTCATGTCTAAAATGGGGATAATTATGCCTATAGTACATGTATATAAAGCACTTCCAAAACCTTAAAGTACCATGTAAATACCAGCAAAGGATATTCCATAATATAATGGAAGAGAACTGAATTCTGGAGTCTGTTCACTACTGGTCTGGTGATGAATTAGAAAAAACTAAATCTTTCAAGGCACAACTCTACTCTAATTATTCTTCACATCCAGCAGCAAAGAAGATAAAGGTTTGTTTACATGTTCTGTGAGCTTCCATACCCACAAAAAAAAAAACATCATTTATGAGAAATCAAACAACTAAACTAAACTAAACTCTTGAGCTTATTGGGAGTTTATCATAATCTGAATACGAAGGAAGGAAATAAGCATTGATTAAGTGCCTACTAGGTGCCAGGCACCATGATAAATATTAGTTCATTTGATCTTCCCAACAACCCTGGAAGCGAAGTGATATTATTACCCCCATTTTATAGATGAGGAAACTGAGGTAAACAACAAGCTAATGAATGTCTGAGGCAGAATTTGAACTCAGGTCTTCCCTACTCCAGGTCAACACTGTGCCACCTGCAAACTAACTACTAACTAAATACTGTGCCACCTACACTTAAACAAGGGAAAAAGGATATTAGCCCTGAAGATCACCAAAGGCTATGATGCCCTGCATGTTTCATTTTTTCCAATTATTCTAATTATATATCCCAAGTTTCCCTTTAACATATATACTAAGGAAGAGGCCTTGGAAGTCAACAGTCACTAGCAGAAATAACAGCCAGAGGGACCCAAATATTTATTTATCACAGTTTCATGAGGTCCTCTCTTCACAGTGACCCTGTAATGCAGGTAGTGATGTATGAGTATTATCATCCCCATTTTGAAGATGACAATGTAAGTCTCAGAGAGATTAAATGACTTTCCCCAGTCACCCAGTAGGGTGGTTTCTCCCTTCTCTCTAGAAAACCACGCATCTCCGGAAGTGTCTCAGAGCATGATCACCTCCTGGTACTAGACGTGAGAGCACTGGCCCACCTCCCTTACCTCAAAGCCTGTCTGCAGTAAGCTCCTATAACATCTTGTTGCTGATTATTTTCCACATAGCTTACCTCAGGGAATGCCACTTGACAAGACTTTCTCTAAGGTTAGAAGAGAATCCAGAGTCATAAGAGACCCTCTTGCCCAAATGGAAACTCTAAAAAATGTCTATAATAAGTCAGCAAGCTAGTCCTACATTGCTGGTGGATTTTCTCCCGGTTTCCCATCCTCCTTGATTCTGCACCATAAGTGTGTTCTCTTGTTCAGAGACAAAGTACAGCTAGCACTTCTTCATAAAGAACTTCGTACTTAACCTTTTCCTCAGGGCCACAGTGTCCTTCCCTGTAGAAGGAAGACTTTGCTCTAGACCAAGGGTATTTAACTTCCTTTGTGCCCTGGGTCCCTTTGGCAGTTTCTGGGAAAGCCTTGGAACCCCTTCTCGGAGTCATGTTTTTAAATGTATATACATGGGATCACAAATAACAGATTCTATTGAAATAGATATAATTTTTCCCCATTCAAGTTCATGGATCTTTTGGGTTCTGTGTACCCCGGGTTAAGAACCCCTGTGCCAAATGATATCGATGGTCCCTTCCAGCAAACCAAAGGAGTCAATTAACATGGAAATGAAGGCAAGGTACGGAAAGCTGCTGCAAAGCAAGCATCCATTTGTACTAATATGAAAAAGAGACATACGACCAATGCTACTAAGTCAGGCACAGCTAAGATTTGCCAGAGAATCCACTGAATCAAGAAACTTATCAAGTTTCCAGTCTTTATGGTATCATGGAATCTCAGAGCTGGAAGGGACCTTGGAAATCATCTTTCTAGTCCTATTTCTCACTTTAAATCTGTGTTTCTAATAAGGCTATGTACATGAGAGTCCTTCTTTCCTAAAAACAATGAGCCCTTAGGTTACAGCCCTAGGTGGCTGCGGGTCCCATTCTTCCTTGAAATGCAACATCAGTTTTTCCTACTGCAAGTGGGAATGATCATGGGACAGCCTGTGGACCCCACCCCAATGGGGTCCAATGCATGTGGCTCATGCAAACCATGGTATCAAGTGTCTGTCCAAACCAGAGTCCTCCTTAGAAAACAGGGTCCAATCACATGCTTTTATTTACTAAGCAAAAGAAATGGGACAGAAAAGGGAACCCTACATCATAACTGGGTGCTCTTTCTTTACATAGAGAATAGTACTATCCATTCATGTGCTCAAAAAGCAAGAGAAATTCAGGCAGAATAGTACTGATGGGTATGTAAATAGAATGGCTTAAAGTAATACTTAGCTCTCCTTACAAAACAGGCAGGCAGGCACAGGAAACCTAACTGATGCTATTATAGATACTTCAGAAGGGAAAGGAGGCAGAAAATGAAGGATTTCAAGAAAGACTAATATTTTCATCATCCTCTAACCTGAAGAAAAAAAAGGTGTTGAGTGATTTCCTGAAGGAGTTCTTCCTCCACTTTCTCTGGGTAAAACTTGGCCAAAAAACAGAATTTTATTGGATCTTCCTTGGGAATTTCTTGTTCCAAAACCTGGTTCCAAGCATGCAAACATAAAAAGAGGCAAAATGGTAAGTATTAGCAACTGCAGAGAAAAATCAGAACGCTAACAACACCTATTTTAATGGCAACCACAAATGGAAGGAAAGGGTATATTATAAATCAGTGGCAAAAAAACTAATACATAGAAGGAATTTGTCCATATTTTCCCGTTTCATACTTCAATGGAAACAAAATAATTTAGACATTTTATAATGATTTGGCATGTACCTTAAATCTTACTTAACTATTTTGAAGGACTTTTTTTCTAATGTTGATCATTTAATTTTTTAAAAATATATAGGATTCACTATCATTTCCATTCCTGTATACTGTCACATGTATTTGTAACGAACAACACTTTTAACTGTCCTAGTGTTTAGCTGGCAGTTTGGGGTTTTCCTCACCTTTTTTTCCATCTTTAACCAGGCACAGACTCCCTTAATGGTATACTGTAGGCCAAAGAACCAGGTCTCCCGGAGCCCTAGAGTTCGGCACACCAGATCAAACAAATCTTTCCCCTTCCATTTCATCTGAAACAATGAAAGTATAGCTCAGTCCTCATGAGGCATAGGGACTTCTTTCATGCAATCTGCCTGCTTATTCCCACACCATTCCAATTTATAGATGGCATTCTACTGGCCAAACAAAGCCTTGAATCAAGAAACTCCTGGTCATTGTTGGCATTTCATTGAACCTTTAATCTTCAGTATTGCCCACTGCTCTGAGGCTAGAACTAGGAAATCCCAATGTGTAGGGACACCACCTCACATACGCAGGGCACTCAGAAACAAGGAGACACGTCCCCAAATGGAAGAGGTGTTGAAATCCCTCTTTCCACTTCTAGAATGAGGTATCCTGCTTTTACTATTCCCTGTCTGATCAGAGACCAGCACCTCGCACTAGGGTACCAGAATGGGTGTATCATTGATCTAAGAAATTCTTAGTACATTAGTGTTAGCAAATCATCAGCTCGGTCTTGAAGGAAGAAAAAGCCTTTGATGACACCTGGATCATTACCAAAGATTCATGCTCTTACTCGCTACACTATCTGAGGAATGTCAATAAGGAGCACTAAGCCAATAAAATAACCCAGGTGCAGCTGGTTGTCACAGAGCTCCTGCCAGCCCAAAAGGATGGTTCGGTATGAGCTTGTCCTACTAATGCACGTCTGCTTCTGGTTTATAACTGTATGTCAAGACAGTGCCTCGCGCTGTGACATATTCACACAGGATTCCAGTGGTGAAAGATTTCAAGTCTGAATAACTAACAGCTAATTCGACTGGTAAGCAGAAGACCAAAAAAATCAATTAGGTCAATTAATGAAAATCCATGAAAATATACAATTTTCTTACTTTCCTCCACCTTCCTCTGTTTCTGGTGCCTATCAAATACCTTCCAGAGAAAGCACACTGACCAAAACCAAAATTCCTTTTTCTCTGAGTGATTTATAAAACCAGGAGTTCGATAATACATCACCATGTCTCTTACCTCACAGCTGAATTCCATTTCGGCATCCATTGTGATCACTTTGACTTTGAACGTCTTTGGCTGCTTTTTCTTCAACCCCCTGATGGACATATTTTTTGAAATAATGACCTTCCAATTGATAGACTGACCTGATAGTGAACAAGAATCAAAAAGGAGTCATCTCTCCAGATTAAGAAATCATTTCTAAAGTTACATTTCATAAAATGAAAATGAGGCAAACAGAAAATGATTCTTCTCTAAAACAGCATTTCAGAATTCAGTTCTATCTATTTTATACATGAAAATTGCATTTTTACTTTATAAGCCAAACCAAAGCCATAGTTCCATTACCTAAACGGCTGCTATTAACAAATATGAAATTTGAAAACTGACAAATATGAAATTGTAATTTAATTACTGAATTTAACTTAATAATTTGTATGTTACTTTAGTTCAAAATACATTTTCCAGCTCCTGATTTGTTTCTACAAACGATTCTAGCTCTCTATATCTTCTTCCTGAAATATCCTGTAGGCATATCACCCAGTGGCCTTACATTGTATGATTTTATCTCTTTCTAATCTTGATCCCTTCACAGTGGACTTCTGTTGTTTGGGTTCTACCTCAGTGCACCTGAGGTTTCACAATCCACCTTTTTTGAACCACATTTCTCTGCCCAGTCCTTAAGAGACAGGGGTCTTGAATGTTGAAAAGACTGAGCCTTTTCATGTTTCGGTGAAAAGGAAGATAAAGCTTCTAGGTCCAATTTGCAGCTTTCTTAATTTTCTCCATAACCATTGGCACATTTTTTCATTTGGCTTGTCCAGACCTCTTTAAAGATCTTAGCCTGAATAACGTGATCTTCAGGTGAATATCCTTAAAAAAATAATAATTTGGTAAGCACGTCCTAAAAGTTGTACTTGATATAGATATAATTCTTTGTGATAAAAGTCAGTTTAACTGTCAAATGGCTGATAGCAATTAGTCTCAGTTATTAAGTGAAAATGAGTTTTCACAGGAACAAGTCTGCTCTTTGATAGATCACTTTCATTCATATGTGTGTTTGTGTGTGTGTGTGTGTGTGTGTGTGTGTGAGTGTGTGTGTTTTGTGGGAGACCAGGCTCCTGAAGTTTACAGAGCCTCATCACCAGGGTGACAGAAAACCATCTATTAAAGCACAGAAGGATGATGCTGTGCATTAGTGAAGGGAGGAGCCAAATGCCAGGAGTCACAATAAGTCCTCTGAGGGCTAAAAAGTATTCAGTTGAAAATGACATTATCTAATTATCTGCAGTACTTATCACCTTATGTTTTTGCAAATACTTTAAATGATTTTAGTTGCTACTATTTACAGTAACCTGGTGAATTTCAAAGGTGGCCGCTGGTGGCTCAGTGGAGAGAGGAGCACGGGGCCTGGAATCAGGAAGACCTGAGTTCAAATTCAGCCTTAGACACGTCCTAGCTGTGTGACCCTGGGCAAGTCACTTAACCTCTAATTGCCTGACAAAAGGATACACTGGTTCCCCTGGAGAAGGAAACGGCAAACCACTCCAGGATCTTTGCCAAGAAAACCCCATAGACAGTTGGTCCACAGGGTCATGAAGAGCCAGACACAACTGAACCACCGAACAACAATGGTTAATTTAACATCATTGCTGTAACATGCCACTCGGCTCCAAGGTTGTCCAGCAACCTCGACAATTCAGAATATTGTCAGTAACCTGGAAGTAAGTGAAGGAGGCCTCCAAGACACCAAAACAGATGTCAGAAAGTCCATGTACTAAAGGTTAAATGCTTCACTCACAACAGAGATACTCAGACCAGCCCCCACCATGACCACTCAGTCTGTTTACTTCAATTTTTTAAATATTGTATTGATATCATTTTTCCATCACTTTCATTTCTGAGTATATTCCATTCCCCTTCCATCCCCAGTGAGTCATTCCTTCTTAACAAAATAAAACAGAAAGAAAAAACCAACTACCACATCGATGGAGTTTACTGTAAATGCATTCATTATCTGACTCTCCCACCTCAGAACAGAGAAAGGAAAGGTGCATTTTCTCAATCCTTCCATGGACCAAGCTTGGTGCTTAGACCCAACTCTAATGGGGTTTATTATCTGGTCTCCCAAATCTCGAATCAGGAGCAGCAAACTAGAAAGGGGAGGCAAACAATGGAAAGAATTCTGGCTCTGGAGTCCAAAGACTGAGTTCAAATCCTATCTTTGACACTTTGACATCGCCTGTGTGATCTTAAGCAAATCACTTAACCTACTTAGGCCTCGCTTGGCTCTTCTGCACAATGATTCTGTGGCCTTTGAGGTCCCTTTCAGTTCTAAATCCAAGAACCTAAGAGTCTATGAGCTGGGGCCTGAATTGGAAGAAACAGCTAACATCAAGGGGAAGAGCCTGAAAACCAGAAAAAAGTAGCTTCAAGCACTTAGAAAAGTAGTCACCTCGAGCCACTGACCCAGGACCAGCTGGCCCCAATTCAACAAACACTTAGAAAGCACCAGTTTGGTCTTCAAGCAGGTCACTTCTCTACATTAACTTCCGGTCATCAGGGAGAGAGCATGGACATGGAATCAGGGCTCAAATCTCATCCCTGCTCCCTGAGGAAACGAGGGAACTTTTAGAGAAGCCAAAACTTGGTCCCTTGGGTTGGTCGATGGGACTAAGGCTCAAGTTGGTGCCATGGCCTGCAGGTTACCTAGGACGTTAAAAAGTCTGGCCTAAGAGGAGCTAGTGTCCCTCAGACTTAAATAAAAATTCCACTCCCCAGCAAGTCACCACAGTCAACTGACCACATGCATTTCCATATGGAGATAAGGGAGAGCTCTGTATACTAGAACGAGGACTGCATCCTTAATGGCTGTCTTTTCCAAGCTATTGCTAAGTAAACTCATTTTTTGTTTTTTGCAAACATTTCACTTCAGATCTTATAGGTGTAAAACACGGTCAAGCCACTTGGCTCCTCCACATACCTTAAAAACGAAAACATATTTAAAGCTGGAGAGGAGTTCAATGCTCTCATTCTACAGCAGAGGGAACCCAGGCCCTATGACTTGCCCAAGGCACACAGCTAGTTAGTGACACAGCAGGATATAGACACCAGGTGCCTGATTCCCAGCTTATCAATTTTCTGGAGGGGGGAGGGAAGCTAGGTGGAGCAGTGGATAGAGCACCAGCCCTGATGTCAGGAGGACCTGAGTTCAAATTTGGCCTCAGACCAAACACTTGCCACATACCGGCTGTGTGACCTTGGGTAAGTCATTTAATCCCAATTGCCTAAAAATAAAAAAATTTAAAAATTTAAAAAAAAAATTTTCTGCTAGACCACGCTGGATCTCCTTCTACGTTGTCACTGTTATTTATAATGATGATCCTAAGTCAAGAAACATGTTCATTATGTTCTGTTCACAAAGGCAATATATAGCATATTTTAAAAAGATTCCTTTCTTAAATAACTTTTTAAAAATGTTTTGTGTTTTAAAGGATACTAATATTTAGTTATTTGGAAAATTTATTCTTGTAAAAACTTCACTTTCCATTGCCAGAGGCATTACTGTGCTATCGTCAACTTCATTTCCAGGATGACAAAATTGAGACACTGAGGCAGAGAATGTCCACTGCCCAGGATTAAACACAGATAAGGAAAAAGCAGAGCTGCCTGAAAAAGAAGTTAGCCCCTCCTTGGCCACTGAGTCATTCTGTATCCTGCTGAAACTACACATTTCTCACTTTCTGTACAGCATTAATGGAGTTCTGTTTTAAAACGGTGACTAGACAGAACCACATAACCCCATTGGCCAGAATTTTAAATTTTTTTTTAAATGTCACAATCCTAATTGTTCATCAAAAATGTGGTTTGACATCTTGTCACTGGCTCTCTACAGTGTTTTTGTTTTGACAATCTGATGACTATCCCCATTGGAAACATGGTTTTAACAAGTATTTGCTAGTCAAATCTTACCAAGAGCTAGGGGCCGGGGACAAAATGAAAGGAAAACAGCCACCAAATCAGCTTCCTTTGTTCTTTTCATTCATGTTTAGAATTTATTGATGAAAATAAAACGTCAGGTTGGGAAAAAGTGAAAGGTAGGAACTTTCCGATACTCATCAGGGGACTTGGAAACATAACCATGGTGGAAACTTTAAACCAAAGCAAAGTCTAGGCACCATCTCAATTAGTTCTTAAAGCAATTCACTACCAGGAGAAAAAATCCACTGGGCTCTGTAACATTCTCCTTCACTACTCACAAAATCATGTGCGACAGTGAGCTGGAGATGGCATGTTCTGGTACAACCTAAGATCATTTCCCACAGCTTTTTCACTCCACACATGAAATTAGCTCACTAAGTATGTCCCCAATTTTTGGTCTTGGCCCGAACTGTTGGCCCCCTTTGGACAAGTGTTGTCTACTCTGTCAGAGTGAGCGGACAAGCCCAGAAACCAGGAACCAAAATAAATGAGGGCAAGGGAGAATAAAAGCAGCAGAGAAAATCCAGAGAACACCTCATTTCTTCAACCACGAGCAACGTGAAAATAACACAGACATGCACAGAATATACCTGTCTTCTATTGCATTTATTTCAGGTCTATTTGACTTCAGACAAAAAACAGAAAATAAAAGCTATTAATAACTCTACTCTCGTTAATTCGGTCCATTTATTACAAATTCAGAGGGGACTACAGTTTGCGCTTTTCTAATGGTTGCATTAAACCTTTATGTAAAGGTTTTCCCATTCTCCCTCAAAAACACAATTTATTAAAGGTTGTTACCTCACAGAAGTACAAAATGAATGAAGTAGTGTTTACAAAACGATCTGAAAGTCTGAGAGGAGTGCTAATGAAAAATCAAGTACAAGAATGTGTATATGTAAGGCACTTGTGCATAATTAAGCATAGGAAGAGACGTCTGCTCTTCAGAGAGAGGAACGAAAATAAGATACCCAGAAGTTACACATGTTCTAAATAAGATTAAGGATAGTGTCACCTTTCTACCTACTTTTTCTCATTGACCTTCTGGCTATCCCTTGATGTACCTAGGCCAGTGGTGGGGAATCTCTGACCTTGAGGCCACATGTGGCCTGCAGGCTGCTGGTTCCCCACCCTAACTTAGGCATTATTAGCTTCTGATATGCCTTCAATACCGTATAACCTGTAGGGATTTCGCCTGCTCTATAAGAAAAAAAAATCTTGACAACAATTTCTATTTCCAATTTCATTGTCCGGGCTTTTTCCAGTCAGACTCTCCATTCAATGCAAGAAGCACACAGAGGGCTGAAAAGAGCAGACGAGGTAATCGTTTTCATTTCCTTCTCAATTTCTTCTGCAGCCTCAAAAGTTGTAGCCCCAGCAAACGCTCCCCGCCAGGAGGCGGCTTTCAAATCTCAGCCAGTCAAGAAGGATTCTCTTACCTTAAGAGCAAACTCACGAAAATCCAAATTCCCCAAATGGAGTCAGATGTCTGCCTCTTCCTGGAAGCAGGACAGAATGGCAAGAGGCTTCGGAGCCCCCAGTTCCACACGTTGGGGCAGCAGCCTCCCAGCCTCCCGCCACACACACAAACAAGTGGAAGAGGTGGTGTTCTAAGTTCCCCCTCCTTTGTGTCCTGGGAAGAACAGCCACTTGGCGCCCTCTGACAAAGCCGAGAGCTGCTTGGGCAGGTAACTGGGAGGCAGGCGAATTAACTCTTTCCTGTTTAGAGCATGGCGACCTAAGGTTTTGAAACAAATCAGCCTGGGAGTCACACTGACAGCTGCACCTGCCCAGCGGAACCCAACCTGGTCTCACTGAGAGCAAAGAGCCTGCTTTTAAAAATCAAAACAAAACAGTAAGGGATAATCACGGCCACTGATAGGCAGCTGAATAAGGGTCCCTGAAAAACAAACAAGGAAACAGCAAAAAGCTATGGCTCCTCTGGCCCTGTAGATGATGAGTGTGAGTAAATGTTAAATCAACAAGTTGAGATTTATTCATTCCCTTTAGCTTATAGGACAAAGGTGTAAATAGGCAGCCAGGTGGCACAGTGGCTAGAGCCCTGGGAACTGGAGTCAAGAAAAGCTGGGCTCAAATCAGCCTCAGACACTTACTATCTGCATGACCTTGGGCAAGTCACTTATCCCTGTTTGCTTCAAGTTTCCTCATATGTAAAAAGAGCTGGAGAAGGAAACAGCAAATCACTGCAGTATCTTTGCCAAGAAAACCCCAAATGGCATCATGAAGAGTTGGAGGCGACTGAACAACAACAAAAAACGGGAATGATAATAGTACCAACCCCCCAGGGTTGTTGTGAACAACAAATGATATCATATTTACAAAGGGTTTTGCAAACCTTAAAATGCTATGTAAATAGTAGCTATTATTAACATCAAAGACCTTAGAGATCATCTAATCCAGGGGTTCTTAATCTTATTTGAGTAATGGACCCCTCTGGTGGACTAGTGAAGCCTAGGGAAGCACCCCTTCTCAGAATAATTATTCAAATGTATAAAATAAAATTATAAAGAAACCAACTATAATAAAATAATTATAATTTTTTTAAGTTCATGGACTCCAAGTTAAGAACACTTGATCTAGTCCAACAACCTCATTTAACAAATGAGGAAACTAAGGCCCAGAAAAGTGACGAGGTCTGTCCCAAGTTTTCTGAAGTGAATAACACACATAATAATATTTAAATTAACAAATAAGTAAGAGCCAAAATTTGAGCCACCATCCTTTGACTCCAACAAGGGCCCTAGAGAGAAATGTCCCCCTGCACCAGAGACCTCACATAGGTCTTCCTAACTCTGGGTCCACTGTTCTGTCCACTGGGCCATCTGGCTGCCCTGTAAAGGAAGCTGACAGTTGTGAACATGAACCCCAATTTATTTATTCTAAGAAACAAACAAAATTGGGGTACATGTATCCACGGTTTAATTTCTCTCAAGCTAGCTTGATATGCATTGCATATCAAGAGAGTTTAGTCCAAAACTAGGCCCCCCTAAGGGAGCCGGTTCAGAACTGGCTCAGGTTGGGATTTTGGGGTACAGCCTTATATGCCCTTCAAAGAGTAGGTGTTCCCAAGGGGTGCCAACTGTGATTGGTGGACACACTAGGAGGTGAGTCATATTAAAATAAGGTCCACAGGGGCCAATATTACCCGCCATCAAAGGAAAATATGCCTCAGTTTCCCCAACTGTAAAATGTAATAATTGCACCTACCTCCCAGGGTTGTTGATGGGGTGTTTGTACTTGAGTGCTTGCGCTTGTATTTGGACCCCAATTTCTCCCTAGTCTCAGAAACACTGTCTCTGACACTCCCCAACCCAAGGACACTGTGCCTAGCAATTACTCATGCATGGGCCCCAGCAAGACCCTTATCTCTCTCCCTGGTGCAGCTACACAAAGCTGGGTGAGAGAGTGCTGGGCTACTCAGGCCCCAGCCCTCAGATCATGTCTCTGAAAGCCTCCCAATTCTTTAGTAAGTTCCTCTCTTGTGAGAAAGCTTTTCCTTGTTGCAGAACATTCTCTCATCAAAACAGAGAGAAAGGGGTGCCTTGCCCAGCCCAAGGAGTTTTGTCCTTGGCTGGCCCAAGGACTCTTCCTCCTGCCAGACTCCCAAGATCCATACCTCTGTCATCTCCCTCCCTGTCTGGTATACTCCCTGTACTTTCCCATCCATAACTCCCAAAGACACCTACATCTTTGGATTACCTAATCAGTACCCCTGGCATTCCTTTCCCATGCCCTTTTCCATATAAACCCTGGCTCCATTCTCAGTCTCTCGCAGATTCCTTAAGAATCCTTGCCCGCTGAAAAGTGTAACAATAAATCTTTGCCACCTTGACTTGAAGAATGCTTGAGTCTGTGAATTCATTCCAGACAACCCCATCCTGTACTGTCTTTGAGGGGTCTCAACCTCTCAGACCACAACACTGTGAGCATCAATATTTGTAAAGCACTTAGCACAGTGCCTGATACAGCAGGTGCTTAATAAATGCTTGTTTCCTTTTTCATATTGGACATTCCAAATTGTGGTTGAGTTTATTGGACTGAAGGGAAGTATTCTGTGCCATCCCTCCCTCCCACCCAACTTAGTGGACATATTTTTTGTATATCTTCTTTAAAGGAGTTTACCATCCACTTTTTGGATTAAAAGGCTAAGACCCTAGAACAATGAGAAAAGCTACAAAGAATAAACAGATGGCTTCATATTTTGAAGCTACTTACACTATTAGTGTTAGGGGAAAAAAACATGCCACATTACTTAAATAAACACACTGAAACTTTGTTCAGGTGAAGGTTAAATGCAATTTACCAAAATCCCAAGTACAGCCTTTTGAGATGATACCCTTGAGTCTCAGTTCTGTGGATCATGTGCTCTGAATGTGATCTTAATAAAACATTATTCAAAAACAAAAAAAGAAATGGTTCAGATATTTGTTATATATCACATATGTGCCAGCTAAAAGTATATAATATGGATGTTTATATATACATATATACATTTATATATACATATATATATTTATATATATATGTTTGCATGTTATCTCTATTAGATTGTAAGCTCCTTGAAGGCAGGGACTGTTTTTTGCTTATTTTGTATCCCCAGCACTTAGCACAGAATCTGTCACAACCTAGGCACTTAATAAGCGTTTACTGAATGAATGAATGCATATCCAAAATAAACCTCTACAATGCATAGGCTTTCATTTTTATCTTTGATTCCTCAGCATCAAGCCTATTTAGCAATACAGTACTTGCCTGATGTTTGTTGAATTGAACTGCATTTCCACAGTATCCAGGAAGCTTAGTACATCAGAAATAGTGCTAGATGCCTGGGTTTGAATCCAGCCTGACACTAACTGTATGACTCTGGACAAGTAAGTGACTGTCACTCACTGGGACTCTGAATCCTCATCTATAAAATAGGGTTTATAAAACCTGCAATAAGCTACCACATGTGGTTGTTGTGATGGATGTTAAGCCCTAAAAGATATCATCATTTAGCGTTCAAACTCTAAAACCTCAGGACCCCATTAGCTTTCTCTACGTACAATTCTGCCCAGAGCTGATACAGGGGTGACAGAAAACTGTCATATGGGCATGGGTTCAGTGTGATGGGAATGCAAGCTATGAGGAAACAAATTTGGACCCTTTACTAGCCTCCTGATGATAGCTAAGGCTCAGGAACAAAGATTTAAAGATGAATTGATACAATTCCCTCATTTTGCAATGGAGGACACCGAGAACCAGAGAGGCAAAGCGACTTTTCCAAGGTCACACAGCGGCAGGGGGCAGGTCCGGGACTTCAACCCAGATCCTCTGCATTCCTGAGCCAGGCCACTTTCTTCCATTCCACCACCCTGCCTCCTCTCGCCTCTAAAAACCTCGGTTTCCTCAGGCTGTACAATCGGGATGTTAAGAGGAAATCGCTTCGCAAGCCCTAAGGGCCCTACACTGTCACACACTTGTTGTTGTTGTAGTTATCGCCCCCGAGTCTGCCGGTGACTCCTCTCCACACACGCCCAAGGAGGGGAGCGCCCAAGCCCCTCCGCCGCGCCTGAGATCTATGGAGAGGTGGCGTCACGACTAAGGCTGCCTCGGGACGGAGAAGTCCCAGGGGGCAGCCAGAACAAGTCGCGACAGACCTCGCAAAGAGCACCCGAGCTCGGCTCTGAAGCGCTCCGGCTCAAACTCAGTCAGGATCTCAGGAAGCAAAGGAGCCGCCGTCACTTCCGCTCGCGCGGCCTTCTGACACGTGCACACCCAACTGCCCGCGGGACTTTTGATTGGGAGAGAAGGGAAGGGGGCGGGGCACATTTCGGGCCACGCCCCTTGAAGGGGCGGGGGATGTTCTGGCAGTTCACGCGGGAGGCGGGACGTCCAGACGCGCGCAGGCCGAGCCCGCCCCGGTTGGCGTGACGTCGCCACGTTTTCCCGGCCGGGGCGCGCCGGCGTTCGGTCAGAGTTCAGAGGTCAGGGCGTCGGGCTGGAAGTGAGGGAACGTTCCCAGGGTGGTGCGTGGAGGCGTCGCTGTCGGACGCTGGGACGTGCTTCGGGCCAGGGTACGAGTCCTCTGGGACCCAGCGGAGCTGCGGGAGGGATGAGGAGGCCTCCGAGGCCCGGGACCCCGGCGGGAGGAGGAGGGAGAGCGGGGACGTCCCTCTGCCCCCCAGGAGGGTCAAGGCCAGAGGGCAGCGCGACCCTGCCGGAGGTCCGGCGTGCGGCCAGGGCTGCATTGAGCTGGAAGAACCTCCGAGACCGCCGCCCCCCCTTACAGGGGAGGAAACTGAGGCAGGGGCGTGGCACGTGGGAAGGGTTTCCTCCTTGCTATCGACCCCAAGAGGAACGTCAGCCGACCGGCGGGGGTCTCGAGCCCATCGTCCCTCAGTCACCCCTGCTCAGTAACCCCCAGTGGCTCCCGGGAGCCCGCCCCCTCCCTCCTGACCAGTCTCCGGAGCGCTTACTCTTCCGGCCCGTGACCCGGCCTCCGGCCCGACTGTCCGAGGACCAGACCCTCGGTCTCCTCCCCCAGGCCTGCCATGCCTCCCCTCCTGCGCTCCGCCCACCGACCTCCCCGGCTTCCTTCTAAGTCCCTACTAAAACCCCATCATTTACTGGAAGCCCTTCCCTCTGCTAATTATCTCTTATTTATCCTGTGCATAGTTCGTCTGTCCCGTAGTCTGCATGTGGTGTCCCCAATTCGACTGTGACCTCCTTGAGGGCAGGGACTAGTGCAGTGCCTGGCACGTATTATGTGTTTGACCAACCTTTATTAACTGACCGTGACCATGAACTAGTCCTAAAACTTCCCTGGGCCTCAGTTTGCTTTTCTGTAAAAGTCGAGGCTTAGGGCTCAACACCTGGCCCTTCCCTTCGGCTCTATTTCAGTAATCCCGTGATTATCTTCAGATTCCAAGAAAGAAAAGAAGCCAAGTGACCTTGCAAGCCTATACTTATTCACATTTAGGACTTGGATTCGTATAAATGCAAACTTGTCGTAGCCTTGAGAAATCTAGACCAAGGGTTCATAGCCTGGAGTCAATGAGTTTCTTTTTTAAAAAATATTTGGACAACTATTTCAATGTAATTCTTTGCTTTTATAATCCCACATGTTTTATTTTTATGTTTTTTAAAACAGTATTAGAATTCTAGGTGGCATAGTACATTAGAGTGCCGGGCCTTGGAGTCAGGAAGACTCCTCTTCCTTGGGTTCAAGTCTGGCCTCAGACACTTACTAGCTGTGTTACCCTGGACAAATCACTTAACCCTGTTTGCCTCCATTTCCTCACCTGTAAAATGAGCTGGAGAAGGAAATGGCAAACCACTCCAGTATCTTTGCCAAGAAAATCCCAAATTGGGTCACAGAGTCAGACGGGACTGAAACAACTTAATAATCAAGAGAAGGGGTCCATAAATTTTACCAGATTACCAAAGGGATCCATGATACAAGATTGGCTAATATCCCCCAATCTAGGCCAACACCAGGTTAGGATGAGGTGAAGGGATTGTGCCTACTACTAGCACTTAATCAGTCTCAGTCAGTGGCAGAGCCTGGACTCAAACTCTTCTCTGTACTTGGGTATTTTTCCCCAAGTTCCAAAAACAACAAAGGGCTTCTGTATATTCAATTCCCAACTTTTCCTTGGGTGAGAGTGAAAAGTAGGAAGCAGGCTATGAAACTTGGCTAAACCTCTCCCAGTGTCCTCAGACCAATAGGCCTTTAGACAAAAGGAAAGGTACTTACGTCATCCATCATAACCACTGACTAGACTGAATTTTAAACTTTGACCTTTCTTTCTCAGGTGACCCAAGCTACAAAATGTCAGTTGCTCGTTCTGCTGTCCATGCCAAATGGATTGTGGGGAAAGTGGTTGGGACAGCGATGCAGAGAACTGCCAAAGTGCAAGTAAACAGGCTTGTTCTGGACCCCTACTTACTCAAGGTGACTCTTACTATTATCATCCACTATGATTTATAAAACACAAAATACAGTCAGGAGTTCATAAGGGACAGATTTGTTCCTTAAGTCTCTTTCAAAGATGAGCCAAGTCATTTTCATGTTTGAAAAATCATTATTGGGGGCAGCTAGGTGGTGGAGTGGATAGAGCACCAGCCCTGAAGTCAGGAGGACCTGAGTTCAAATGTGGCCTCAGACCAAACACTTGACACTTACTAGCTGTGTGACCCTGGGCAAGTCACTTAACCCCAATTGCCTAAAACAAAAAAAAAAATTTAAGACAGAAATCATTATTGGCTATGTTCACTCAACTCTAGCCATGTTTTAAACTTGTTCTATAAATAATTTTGGTCATAAATTATATGCCAAACTCAATGTGAACACATTTTAAATTGTATCTACTTTAACAAGCTAATAATTTAAGGATTACTCCCTTAGTGTCTCTAATCTTTAACCAATCAATTCTGTTTGTGTATATAATTTAAATATCTGGTCACAGTCAATGTAGTATTGTCATTGTTGTTGTTTAGTCCTGTCCAACTTTGTGTTTCCTTAGCAAAGATGCTGGAGTGGTTTTCCATTTCCTTCTCCAGTTCGCTTTACATGTGAGGCAAAAAAGGTTAAGTAGCTCCCCCAGGGTCACATCAACTAGTAAGTGTCTGAGGCCAGGTTTGAACTTAGGGAAATAAGTCTTCCTGACTTCAGGCCCAGCATTCTTTGCACTATGGCACCATCTAATTCTGCTTGCTTTGTTATGTCACTTCACTGTAGCTTTTCACTACATTGATGTCCTGCCACTTACTCAGCCATCCTCCAGTTGATATTCAATAATAATAGCTAACGTTTATATAATGCTTACTATGTGCCAGGCACTGTGCTAAGTACTTTACAAATATTATCTCACTGGATCTTCACAACAACCCTTCACATCAAGTGCAGCCTGACAGAACAGACATTTAATCAATGTGCATTGTTAAGGTACTGTTACTATCCCCAATTTATAGATGAGGAAACTGAGGCGAACAGGTGAAATGACTTGCCTAGGGTCACACCGCTAGTAACTGACCAGATTAGAACTCAAAGTCTTCCTGACTTCAAGGTGTTAACCATTTTTCATTCTAGCAAACAGTGGAACTGCAAATATTTAAAGAGTCCGTATGGGTAGTGAACATGGTGTGTGACTGGTGATCAGAAAGGCCTGTGTGTTGGGTTCCACTTCTCCCTTGGATGCTGGCTTTGCCAACATAGACAAATCTCTTCACTCCTCTTATCAGTTGCCCTCTCTATAAAATGAGGCTAGGGATACTTAGAGGACGATTGTGGGACGAAAATAAGAGATGTGTGGAGAGCCCTTTGCTCCCTGAGTCTTGGGAATGAACTATATCCTGAGAGTCGAGTTCCAGGAGTGGGATTCCTGGCTCAGAACATGATCAGAATGTCATCGGAGAAAATGGCAGGGTTGTTTCATTTTACTGTTAGTTTGTGAAGACAAATGACTTCACTATAAGTTTGACCCTTCTGTTTCTCTCAACAGTACTTTAACAAGCACAAAACATACTTTGCTCACGACGCTTCAGAGCAGTGCACTGTTGGGGACATTGTGCTTCTCAAAGCATTGCCGGTACCACGAACCAAGCACGTGAAACACGAATTGGCTGAGATCATCTTCAAAGTTGGAAGAGTCATCGACCCAGTTACTGGGAAACCCTGTGCAGGAACCGTGTACCTGGAAAGCCCGACAAGCCCCGGGACTGCCCCACTCAACCCGAGTCTAAAAGAACCGAATCTTCCTTCTGCATAGCTGCATGAAGCCCAGAAGACACCGGCCAAGAACACACTGAACACTCTGGCCGAGGAGGCTTTTGTAAATGTTTCGACTCCAGCCATCCTACTTTTGTAGTGAAGTACTCCCCGCTGAACAGTAAGGAAGGGACATTTTGAAGAATGGGGTTTTTCACAATAGTGACTGTTTCAAATCACCTTATTGGAATGACAATGTGAATATGACTTTCTTAGAATCTCTGAGCTTATAGCAACCTGTTGCATTATTGAATAAGCCAACTGTTTTTGGAAATTAGGATTGATGGTTCACAGAATTTAAAATAACATAGGAGCTGGTGGGGGCAGGGGCGGGGGGGATGGGGGACATGTTTGTAAATAATTATCCTTTTTTTAAATAGTAAAATATTGGAAGTACTTTAACTGAATTTTATTTTTAGTGATTTGTATTCTATTTTTCTCTAACCTCTAATACTAAAGGGAAAGAAAACATTTGATTTTATGGCCAGATTATTTACACAGATTAAGCTGAATTAATAAAAACCTTTTAAAAGGTTGGGAAAAATGAACCCTTACAATATTTTTTGTTTCCAAGAAGCAAAATGTTCGTTTCTTTATATAAGATTACCTAAAATGAGACTTCCCTTTCAGTGATAAAATCATGGCTAGAATTTGTTTTCAAACCGAGGAGCTAAGGGTTGTTTTTAATGACGATTCCTTTTTGGATAAGATGGTCCAGGGAGTCAGGAGAGCTGTGCCCATTATAGATGAGTCTGCCTCGCTGGACTGCAGTGTCCCAGCCAGAAGGTTGTGACATGGTATGACCAAGTTGTACAATTCTTCAGTAGTGCCCAGTTTCAGAGATATTTTGCTGTTCTGTTTGTCACTTGGTCATGGAGTATTGGGACTTCAGCCCTTGAGGGAAAATTGATCTATGTGTTATTTCTCTTTTGAACTATGTAACAACAACAATGTATTTTAGGGCAAAAGAATAGACATCTTTTAACTAGTGAGGAAGTCTATGCAAAATCAAAAATTGGAATGACAAAATATTGACTGCAAAGAAATGCTCAGTCGTTCCAAGCGACCCTTCCAGGTGGATCAATCAGAAGTCCGGCATGACAGAACTGACGTTTAATCGATGTGCATTGTTAAATCATCATTTTTTTTGCCTTGTGCCATCCGTGCAGGAAGGTCCCCTTTAAGGAAATTCCCCCTACATCAGACATTTCCCCCCAAAATGGCCAGTCTGGGCTGATGTGGGCCCTTGGCGGGGCAGGAGCTGCGCCAGGGTCCTCCTGACCCCCCCCCCCCCCCCGGGCTCTCCGTCAATTCCAGGGTTAAGCCGTACAGCCCTCGACCCCAGACCCGGCTTCGTTGGGAGCTCCCGAGTCTCCAGCGGCGCCAGCCTTCCGAGACTGCGCCTGGGAGCCCAGGGGGGCGGCGCGCGCCCCAAGGTCAAGTACACCCAAGCTGCAGCTGCCCTAGGCAGCCGCGGGGCGGCGCGACGCGGCGCAGCGCAGGCCGCCCAGCCCGGGCCCGCCCCTTCGGCCTCCGTCGAGCGGCGCTGGCATGGGGGAGGGGGTGGCAGGCCGGTGGGGGGGGGGGGGGGCCGAGGGGAGGCGCCTGAGCAAGATGGCGGTGCGAGTGCTGCGGTCCCTGGGAGCGGCCGCGCCCCCTGGCCTGCGGCCGGCCCTCAGGTGAGCAGCGCCCGGCGGGCCCGGCCGTGACCTTGAACCCCGGCCGGGGCGGCTGAGGCTGCGGGCGGCCTCGGGCCGGGCAGCGCCCCCCCACCCGGCGCCCCCACTGCCCGCCCGCCCCGGCCGGGGTTCAAGGTCACGGCCGGGGGCCAGCAGGGGCCCGAGCGCCCCGCCAGCCGCGGGCGGGAGCCAGGCGGGGACGAGGGGCCCTTCCCCCCGCGGGCCACGCCAAGGGGGAGGGAGGGGGCGCGGGGCCGGGGCCGGCCGTGACCGTGGCCGTGGGAGTGGGCGGCCTGGCCCGACCCCACTGTGAGCCGTGGCTGAGGAGGAGCCCGCAGGCGTCCGGCTCGATGCCCGCTGACCCCCGCTCTGGCCGCTGTCGCCCTCGCGCCGGCAGGCCAGTGTCCGAGGACCCCCGGGCTCTTGACCGTGACACTGTCCTCCCCGGACTCGGCTTCAGGCTGTGGCCGCAGGTCCGGACCGCCGAACGCCCCGGTCGCCCTCGCCTCCCTCTGCAGCCGGCTGTCTGTGTGCCCGGTTGGAGGGGGCCCCAAGCGCGGGGGACACGCAGTCCTTGGCCCGTGTTCCTTGTGTAACTGACATGGGCGCGTGCCGTGTAACTGACCGGAGCAACTTCTCCCGGAGCTCCGCAGTTAGCGCTGCGCCTCTTTCCCGGGCCTCTGAGAAAGCCGGACAGCGTTTATTCTGTGTGGATGTTGTCCAGCCCCACTCTTTTTCGTGCATATGTTATCGCCAGGTACATTTAACGCACCCCCACACACACACACACACACACACGCACACGGGGCGGTGAAACAATAATAGGAAAATAAACATGGCAGCGAAATAATGCTCGAAGGTCCTTCTTGCAACTCCCAAATGTATACCTCTGCATTCATTTGAATGCTTAATTTCACATCCAGCGCTCCTATCCTGAAATTCGTTCTAACCTTTCCCACAAACTGGCAGAGAATATCTTTATTTTTTAGGGAAATGTTTGACGTTTTACTCAGACTCTTTGGAAAACTGTCTTCCTCAAAGTGCTTATTATATGCGAAGGAATTGCTAAAGAAACATATAAAGCAAAAAAAAAAAAGATGAATTTCAGAGAAGGCAAGTAATCTAATTTAAATTCAAAAGGCAGAGAGCAGTGTTTACTAGGCTTCCAGACAATCAGTTTTGATTTTTAAATTTCTTATAAAATTTAATAGATGCCAAGAATAGAAGTTAAAAATTAGACAAAAACCTAAACTTTATTTAAAAAAAAAAAGTGGTAGAGATTGTGCTCCAGAATATTTGGTTTTGTTTTTCATGTGTGTGCCAGTAGCAGAGATCCTAAATGTTTTACAAGATACTCGCTAACATATGATATTAACCTATACAAAATGTAATTCTCCTGTTTATTGAACGATTTTTGCTGTTTTCAATAGTGTGAGGATTTTAAGAATCATTTTTTCTGCTAGTGCCCCAACACTATCTTAACAAAATGTTTTATATATTTAAAAAAGTATTCTTATTACTATCTTTATGTTTGCATGTGGCAATATAGCTACATATTTCAAAATGCTGTCCCATGTGGTTTCAGACAATTTGAAATTAAAATAAGTGAGCAAATTCTTTGGATGTGTGTGTGTGTGTGTGTGTGTGTGTGTGTGTGTGTGTGTGTGTGTATCCATATGCCATTAAGGTCCAAAGCAGCTTTATTATTTTAAATGACTTTCTTTTTTAAATGAAATGGAAGACAAATCCAGTAAATTTGTAAAAGCAGCAAGTTAATCTTAAGAATCAGGAAAACACAATTTTCATAGTAGGTGGATATGTTGAATAAGAATAGATTTATGTGATTTTATGAGCATGTGTGTTTATCTTGTGGAACCCAGGGAAATTTGTATCCTTGAGTGTCTTCCCTGTGTTTCTTTCGCCCTGAAGGTCACCTTCCTAATTGCTAGCTACCAGTTATTCTGTCCTGTCCTCCCACACTTTGCTGACAACTGTCCGGATTCCTTGGCAATTGTTGGCTATAGGGTATACAAAGTAACACTTCGTGCTACTCTGTGACTAAGTCATCATTGTCTTCATTTCCTTTAAATTCAGAAGCCTTCCTGAGAACCCTACAGCACAGGCCTGGGATGCTATGGTGTGTTTTCTTGGGGAAAAACAAAATTCCTCCAGAATTTTTTATTTAGGTACATTTGTTGTGATCTGCAAATTGATAATTACCATAATGGGGCCGTCTGCATGGTAAGAGGTCAGGCAATATTTGTTGAATTAATTTTACTGAGAAATCATGAAAGAAGTTACAAATAATATATCCAGGGGTGATTCTCAGAATTCATTTGATACTCTTTTCTGGTGGAGTACAAATCACGTTTCGAAGCCTGAGTTGAGAGAGTGAACTTGATCTGTGGGGCAGTGGGAATCCAAAAGTTTTAATGTAGGTGGTAGGATCCAGCCCATGGAAATAGTAGCCAATTTGGGCCAAGCCAAAGAAGATGCACCAGAGTGGTAAGATGGTGGAAGCAGGGTTGCAGGGAATGTTTGGTGATTGGTACCACGTTGCAAAAGTCCCTGCCGGGTCTCTGACAGTGCATGTGTACTAAGGAGGTATGTTTAGCACTGTGCCTGGCACATAGTAAGAACTTAGTAGAGGTTTATTGATTGGTTGATTGTTGCAATAGAAATTCGTTTAGAAGATGGAAATTATCCAATCTAGGTGTCTAGGTTTTAAGTAGAGTAGGAAGACTGACAGAAGCATAAAGTCATTTTGGAGGTACTTTTCATTTTCTTCATGCAAATTTTGCTTTGTCAAAGGTTGTTTTAGAAGGCGAAATATATTCCTAGAATTCTAATATAAAAACTTTTATATGTGGGTGCTATGATAGGAAATACAGTGTGCTAAAGTCTTTCTCATTCCACTTGGATGTCACTTTTGGGGGTAAAATAGTTCTGGGAAGCTAGTACTCTGCTTCTCCTGATTAGATAGATGAGGTGAGATAATTTGATAAGATGCTTTGAATAACTTTAATAAGCTTTACTGATACTATAATAATTAATAAGATGGTTGGAATAACTCATATGTAAAGCATTTTGAGTTTTATAAGTTACTTTCTCAGTAAAGTAGGAGTTGCAAGGTTATGATTCACATTTTACAGATGAGGAAACTAAGACTGAGGGAGGTTAAGTGATCCTGCTAAGGTCAGATGGTTAGTAAGTGTGGGAGATGGACATTTAATATTCTATTCTGTGAATAATGTAATTGTTTGACCCTACCTAATTAAAACACATGTAAACTATTGCAATTCTCATTTGACCTGTACTGACACATTTGTTCATTCCTAGGGGCCTGACAAGTTCCACCAACAGACCTCGTGAAGATAGTTGGTTAAAATCTTTATTTGTTCGGAAAGTTGACCCAAGAAAAGATGCTCATTCCAATCTCCTAGCCAAAAAAGAAACAAGCAGTCTATACAAAATACAGTGTGAGTGGGGTTTTTTACATTTTAATATTTGAATTTCCTTCCTTTGTTCATAAATTTATTATTGAATTTTCTTGTTACAGTTCACAATGTGAAGCCAGAATGCCTGGAAGCATACAACCAAATTTGGTATGTAGCCCAAATTACTCATGACTTGGGGGAGAGAGTGAATTGTGTTTGTGCCGGCTCCTCTGGAAATTGCTAGAAGGAAAATGAGAGCATTTCTGCTAAACTCTATTCTTCTGTCCTTGTAAAGGCCCTTAAACTGAGCCCTGTGTGATGAGGTTACTAAAGTGAAAGGGTGGTGGGGAGACAGGGGTATATGCACAGGTAAATCACCTCATGTGGTATAAAGTCCCATACATTCTCTTAGAATTTATATCTCTTCAGAGAAGTGGGAGAATTGGACTGATTGACTTTTGATGAATTTTGCATAAAACATGTTCATCCTCACGATATATAAGGGCACATGATAAAAGTGATTTTGTAGCTCTCACCTCTGCCAAGGTTCAAAGAAAGTAAGGGAGTTTTGAAAAGCATGGAAATTTCCAATAGCAAAAACTGTTACCGTTTTTATTGGAGGCTGTTCAGAGAAATTCAACTATAGTGCAGACTTTCTTGTTCATCCCTACGTATTTTAAACAAAAACACTATTCCACCGTACACCGGAGCCATTTACTTCTGTCTTCATTCTCATCCTTCCAGCTGATGCCCCCCAAACCTGAGCCTCCAGTCTTGTCAGACTCTAGTGGTTTACTGGACATTTCCACCCAGATGTCTGGTCAATTTCTGAAACTCACCTCTTCTAAATCTGGACAGATTTTCCGGAAGTTTTTCTGGACAAATTTCCTGGGCAGATTTTTTCTGAAACTCACTTTGTCCAAAACTAGACTCATTTTCTTTCCCCTGATAGAAGTCTCAGAGAAGCAAACTTGGTCTTGATGTCAGGAAGATCTACTTAATGATTTGACCTATCCCAAACTATAAAATGGGCAGCCTCGGAGTGTAGGTCTCTCCTTTTGGAGGGGTGGGGGTGGGGGTCTTCCAACCAAGTCAGGATGACCACTTGTGAGGCAAGTTGTAATGGAGATTCTTTTTCAAGTATGGGTCGGATTAGATGACTCTTTGGACTTCGGTTTCCTCATCTGTTAAATTAGGTGTTTAGTCTAAATGGCCTCTGAGGTCCCTTCCAACTCCTGACCCCACAGTTCTGTTCTCCACTACCCCCATCCCAATCCAACTCCCAGTTTTATTAATGGCACCATGGTCCTACCAGTAATTTGAACTCAGAACTTCAGAGTTATCTTTGGGCTAGAATTCTCCTTAATTTTCAGTATCTAGGGAGTCACTAAGGACTAGCTATCACATCTTTTTTTCTTGATGTCCATGGCAAGAACCGTAATCCATGGCTTCATTGCCTCATAACCTTTCTGACTCCAGCTGGTCCTTGGCTCAATCCATCTGGCATTTTCTTTTTTGACGAATGTTCTTAACCAATACTGATGTGCAGACTCCCACATTTGGCATGTAACTTTTCTGGTTAGAAATCTTAAGTGGCTCCTGATTTCCTGCTTCATCAAGGCTACACTCTTCTGCCTAACTTCTCTAGTCTTTATAATCTGGGTCTACCTTACCTGTCTCATGGACCCCTCTTCCCAAAAATGAAGTCTCCCCTCTAGTCTGGCAGATCTGCATCTTCTTTGTCGACGTGTGGTGATAAGGAATGGATAACCCCACAAATGTGCTTCTCTCTTCTTTGAGAGCTATAGCACTTGGCTGATCAGAAGGCTGCTATGAACACTCATATCTTCCCCACAATACACACAGAGTAGTTGTGGAGGTTGATGGATTCCTTCTTGTCCAATCTTATTTAGCTTTCTAATGTTGTATGACAGTTAGAAAAGCTAAAGTTTCAGAAAACAAACAAGTCTCAATCAACTGCACTTACTCATAAAAATCTTTGAATTTTTAATTTACCAGATACAGGTAGTTGGAAATCTTAATTTTTCTCTTTTCACCAAGGGCAAGTCATGTAAAACATCCTCCAAATGAGGAGTTCCAAGCCTTTACTCTTTCATGGACCCCTTGGGCAGCTTAGGTGGTGCAATGGATAGAGCACAGGACTTGGAGGCAGAAAGACCTGAGTTTAAATCCAGCCTCAGACATTCACTAACTTTGTGACCCTGGGCAAGTCACTTCACCTCTTCCTGCCTCAGTTTCCTCATCTGTAAAATAAGGATAATAATTGAACCTACCTCCTAGTGTTACCATGAGGGTAATATTCTTTAAAGTACTCGATAAGCCCCATCTCAGAATCCTGCTCAAAATACAATACATAGGAGTAGAAAGGAAACCGAAGGTCAGTGAAATGTTTAAAAAAACCGAAGTCATAGGCCCCAGCTTAAGGATGCCCGCTTCCATGTTATATGACATCCAGAAGCTTTATTTGACTCAGCCTCTGCAGAGACTTGTATCAGCCACGCTTCCTGAGACCTGGGGCCATATCATGCATTCTAAGAAGGCGCATTTTAACAAGAGCCAATATTGTGATTATCTGTCACAGTCCTCCTCCTCCGGCCACATGCCAGTCACGCACACAGAGGTCTGTGTTTCCTCTTTCAGAGTCAGCTGCCAATCCTCTTCCCTGCCTTTTTCTAGAGGAAATCTGGCATACAGACTGAACACAATGGTCAGTCCACAAGGCTTGCTCTCTCTGTCTTGGTTTGCCAGCACTCTAGAATAGGTGAAACTTAAAGTCACTGCAAGCCTCCAACATGACATTACTAGAACGCAGTGAGGGCTCCAGACTTCCTGCCTTGGGAAAGACCAAAGAGGGGGCACTAGACTCACTACGCTCACACAAACGATTATGGGTTTTGTTTTTTATTTTATAAATGTATATCAGTATAGATTGTTATACATACTATAATATATAATATATTATTATAAATTTATATACCAGTATTTTATATAGAGCGTTTTAACATTTGCAGTGTACCTTACAAATATTATCTCATTTTATCCTCACAATAACCCTGCAAGGTAGGTGCTATTATTCTCCCTCTGTTGTAGAGGAGGAAGCTGAGGCAGAGACCGCTGAGTGACTTGCCTAGGGTCACACAGTTATTAGTATCTGAGGCAAGATTCGAACTCGGATCTCCCTGACTCTGTCCACTGTACCACCCAAGTATTCTGACAACATTCAGGGCTCTCTTCTTTACATCGTACTGAGTCCCTGCCTCAGCATTGTGTCTGTCTGAGCTCAGATCCATCCCACCCAGGTTAGCTTACAGGAGAGGCTACAGACCTTGGCTATCCCCCTTCCCTAGCTCTGTAGAAGAGCAGATAGCCCTTCTTTTGGGGTGTCTTTAATAGATTTTTCTTGAAAACATTACAAGGAAACATACAGGAGATAATGAGAATTTTTCAAAAGGGAAAAAATCATAAAAGCCTTACATGCACACTTACAGGAGAACAAAACCTAATTCTCCCTAAGCTCCTCTTCTTTGGACTGCCTGACCCTTCTCAGTCTTCTCTTAAAATCAGCCAGCCCACTGCTGCCTGGGCCGCACATTAGATCAGGCTCCAGCCAGTGGATTTGACTTGGCAAAGCTTTGGGTTTTCATAGTCCATCTGGAATCTCCCTCACCAAACCTTTGACCTGCACTCCCTCCCTCCCTCTTCTGCCAGGACAGGTCTTTCACCTGGGCTTCAAGTTCTGAAGACTCTTATGGTTGCCCTCATCTAGATCCTCTGCCTACGGCCCTAGGAGAGTCTTATGACGTGGACCACGGGGGTCCACAATGATTCTTCCTCCCCTAACCCTGGAGGAATGACTCTCTAAATTCATCGTCGTAGTTTAGGAAGTACCTTGAACATACGGCAATACGTTGAGCATCTGTGATCTCACTGGTAGAGCATGGAAATCCAATCGCCACCCACTTTTAGAGCTGAAGCTTAGAGATTAGTTGATCCCCCACAGGCAGGAACACAGCTGGAAAGTGTCAGAGACAAGAGCAGAGGCCAGACCTTTCTGCCCCCAAAGTCCAACTCTGTCCATCACACCAGGCTTCCTCTCACCTGGAACATGTGGCAAATAACACCAAACATCCACGTCACCGCCAACAGCTGCAGCAGTAAGGACGTAGGTATGGTGTCCCCGGGTCTCTAGAGATTGGTTCAGGCCCATAGAACTAATCAGTCTAGTCTCATCGTTATGCACAACACCGATCTTGCCCTGGCATTCAGTACTCACAGCCTGTCCTGCTGATGTGGTTGTGGTTGAGGCCCTTGTTGCTATATAGAGGAATCACACTAGCTCAGAAGGTTCCCAGGTGACTCTGCTCTCTCATGGGGGGAAAGGCAGCAGGTGGGGGGTGGGGGGTTGTGTGCGGATTCCCTTCCTGGTTCATGGCTCTTGGCTCTCACTTCCCCTCCCCCAGGCATCAGGGGGCCTCAGAGCTGCTTCCTGCTCCGCTCACTTTGGTTATCCACGATTTCTCTCTTCCTTCTTCACTGTCCTCTTTAAGTCACGTCTCCCGTGGTTCTTGACTGTATCACCCACACACTTAAGCGTTTATAAGCATCGACGATCACATGATCATGAATGTGCCCTCTTCTTACTTGTGCAACCCATCTTCTGTCATCTTTGGGCCCCCAGCTCTTCTTATTTTGGTCACAGCTCATGGATCTGAGAAAGACAACTACTCTAGCCTGGTGATGAAGGGTCCCAGACATTCAAGGAAGGTGTCGCTGGATCATAGAAATGATCCAAAAATGCTAATTCTGCTGATAATTCCAACAAAATGTATAAATGTGTTTGTGGTGCCCTTAATTAGTTGGCAGGACACCTAACGCAGGGCCAGACATTGCTAAGTTCTCAGTAAAATGTTGCTGATTGATTGACTAGGCTAATTGAAAACACGAAATTTATATTTCTTATTTTTTAAGTCAAGAGGTGCTGCCAAAGATTCATGAAGAAAAACACTACCCTTGTACCTTGGTGGGGACTTGGAATACATGGTACGGAGAACAAGATCAGGCTGGTAAGAAATCTTAAGAATAATTCCTAGAACCTAGACTTGATGCTGAAGTGGACCTTGTCTCTTAAACCGTTATTGTAATTGCACAAGTAATTTTCAGACATCATGCTTGGTTACAATAAAAACTTTTAAAAATCATTGTATGGACTCATGGTTAAAGGAAATATACTGTTTCTTCTGGTTTGAAACAATTTTTTATTGCCTTTAAATGTTTAAATTTATTTTGATAATTTGTATGCCTAGACTGACTTTTGTGCATGTTTATAATTTAGTACTGTCAACTTTGTGTGTGTGGCATATTTTAAAATCAACTGAGCTATTATCATGAACCTCTAAATGTATATGTATTTTTAAAAATATATTTCAGTCCACCTCTGGAGGTATGAGGGAGGCTACCCAGCCCTCAATGAGGTCATGAGTAAGCTCAGAGAAAATAAGGTATGATTTTTAAAAAATGTTTGCTAATTCTAATTTCAAATAGTACCTGTTAGTATAGATTAAGTGACTCTTTTCTCTGCATCTTCAGCAATTTCTGTTTTTCTGCTAAAAATGGTATTCTTTGTGAGCTTTGATTTGCAGGGTTTTTTAAAATAGTACCTGTATTGACATTAAAATAACTGAGTTCTTATGGCAAGAGTGAGTTGTAGCTTAGAAGTGATAGGTTTCATTTGAAATGTTGGTAGTTAGTATGTCTGCTTTAGATATCAACAAGCAAAATAATGACCTTGTGAATTGTTCATGGCATGTTTTTAATCCTGGGCTAGCTTCTTACCCTTCAGTGGGCATCCCGGCTGCTCCCCACCATTCCCTGTCTGCTCCTCCCCCACCGCCAGGTGTGAGCAAACTCATTAGAATACTGCTCTAATGCAGTGTTCTCAAGGTATGGGCCAAGGGCTCCTCCAGATTCCCCAAGATCCTTTCAGGGGCTCTGCAGGGACAAAATTTTTCATAGCAATACTAAGAAGTTTTCATTTCTAATGTGGCAATTATCAATAGATATAAAAAAACACAAACAAGCTTTGTTTTAAGTTTTAAGAGTGTGCAGGGGTCCTGAGAACGAAAAGGTTGAGAACTGTTGCTTTTATGGACATGTCATTAGCATGGCAAGCTTTGGATTGTGTATGCACTCTTTCTTGGTGATTGCCCCAACTGAGCCCTGTTTTATATGGATTGTCACATGTTGATAAGTTTATTCTCCTGAAGTTCAGCTGTGATTTATTGGGGAAAATTGAACTTAGTGAGTGTAGCCTAGATGGGATGCAAAGAGTTCATGTTGTTAATGGGTATTTATATATACATATAATTTAAAATTTTCATGACAACTTTCTTTCAAAGGAATTTGTGGCCTTCCGTAAGGAAAGGGGCAACATGCTGCTTTCTCGAAAGAATCAGCTGCTGTTGGAGTTCAGTTTCTGGAATGAACCTGTCCCTAGACCAGGACCTAATATATATGAACTCAGGTCTTACCAACTTAGAGTAAGTACGAAAGTGAGCAATGCTCAACTACTCAATTATCCTTGGAAACCACAGCAGGGTTAAAGCAGCCTAAGTCCTAGCTGGACTTCTCCTTTTGGTTTCCTCTGTCCCCTCATCACTCCTCCCTCTTAGTCTTATTGTTCATATTTTGTGAACTACATAATGTCCGTTCTTTAGCATGTCACCTGATAGCATTTCTGAGCTATTCAAGAGGAAAGGCCTAAAACCAGGGAACTTATTTGAAATCACTCTTTATAGCACTTATTCCAGTGGGATTAGAGGATGTAGCCTCAGTGTAAACATACTGAAATGCCATCAGATTGGGAAGTAGGTTTTCCCAAATGTTGCCATGCCAAAGCCTAAAGAAAACTCAGCTATTGATCACATGGATTACTACCATTTGTGACCATATCAGTTGGATCGTGGTCTCAAATAATACTTCTTCTTACTAGAAACCTAGAGCACATTCCTAGTCCTTTTTTCCAAAATATGAAAAAAAAGTTGAATTTCTTGTTGAATTTGTAATAGTCTTATTTTGTGTTTATGAAGAGGCTAAAGATACAATAAAAGTGGAACGTGTGTGTGTGTAAAAAACTTTATTTGCTTAAAGTAAATATCCATAAGTTTTTACCATACATTTTTGCCTTGAATTAAGCCACAGATGGCCATTATAAGGGGCAATGTGAATAAAGTGGATAATAGTATTGGAAATCAAGTTTGTCTTTTTTTAAGAGAGCTATGAACGAGTTGGCCTCACTCTGTGTTTTTCATTGCAATGCTTCCCCAATCTAAGAACCAACATTCCAAAAACAAAATGTTTTCTTTCAGCCAGGAACAATGATTGAGTGGGGCAACTATTGGTAAGTTTACGGCAGCATGGTGAGTTTCTAAATCTTACTAATGGATTGTGTTGGGCCATCCTTTCATCTCTCAGTGTCAGAGTTTGGGATCTTTAGTGTCAGGGTTTGGCATTAGTTTAGGAAGTCTTTTTGCATTTTCACAGACCTCATATTTCCTAAAATATTGCTTTCACTCACAAATATATTTTCTCACTTATGTGGCTACTACCCTTATTTGTCTTTTTAGATTGAATAGCAAAGAACCAATTTCTTTACCAAGTTAGGTGGTATTATACCTCAACAGGCAAGAATATAATTCAAAGTTTTGCTGACCAAAATTATCTACCAAAAACAAGATGAAGTTCCCTTCAAGGCAAATATAAGGTACAATATTTAAGGATTAAGCAAAATTAATTTCAGTAGATTCAAGACGGGAAATGACTGGCTGGGCATAAGTGGGACTGTAAAAGACCTTAAGATCAGAGTGGGCCAGGAGCTAAATGTCTATGGCAAGAACAGTGCCATCAGGCTGACATGATAATGGAAATGTGACATGCGAGAGTTGGTAAGGATTCTTTTTACTGTATTAGGAGGCCCTTATTGTAGAGCGGGAGGCTCAGATTTGGTATGGACATACTAAGAGGGATGCAGAGAACTGAGTAGATATAAAAAACGAGCAACTAAAATGAATGACGGGTGGAAGTCAAGACTCGAGAAAAGATGAAGGGAATTGAATGTATGTAAATGAAAGAGTGATCGCTTAAGTCTTCAGATCTATGGTGGGTTATGACCTTTGCCTCACTTTGTGTCAGTAGAAAAAAAAAGGGGCAAGTCAAATACTGTTTTCCCATTACCTTCGTTGTGACTTTATGAGTAATTGACATCTCCGTTTCCATCTAATCTTCAGTTGGCAGGAACTTCTCACTCTTCCTTCTTCTCTCTAGTAAAGTAGTGGACAAACAAAGTTATAAGTATATAAATGGCAATGGCCATTTAAAGCACACTTAGTGTGAATCTTTTTACAATGTAAATAATCCTCCCCAACTGTGTCTGTTTTACATGTTGGATTTTCATGCATTCGATTTTTTATTTTTTAACATGGAGTCAACTGTATAAGAAAGCCCTGACTACCATTTTTGAGGCTAGGACAGAGACAGGAAATTATCTTCAATTGCTAGGGGAGATCTAGGTTTAGAAATAAAGAAGAACTCCACTGATGGGGTGATTAAATGCTATTGCTCCCTTGAAGAAAAGTTATGGAATTTTCATCTCTGAGGATCTTTCAGAAAGATCACCTTCTGTTTTTGTCTAGTTCAAGGGTAATCTTACTCTTGCTTGGAGAAGGGAACCCAACTAATCACTTTATATTCCTGCCAGTCATTGGTTCTAGCAACATACAATATAAAATTTCTGATATTTTCCAGGCCAGTTGTTTTCTGAATCTTTAGGATGTAAAGAATTTTCAGGGTAGAAAGTGGGTGGAAAAGTGTCAATTACAAAGGTATTTCACCCAAAATAGTTTTCAAGAACCATGAAAATGTAGTTGCTAATTTAAATCAAGATTATTCCTTATTCACTGTCTTTTGGAAGTTAACATCAGTTTAGTTCCATTTACTTTGGCCTAAGGATTATGAGCATGTTCATATGAATGTCTGCCTTTATAAAAAATTTTTTTTTAATTTGTAAATGCTGTTTCCATAAGCTTAGCTGCCAATATGTTAACTTAGTCTCCTACACTCTGCTGTGAATTGTACCTACAATTCAGCTCACTTGATCTTTTATAAACTCCATCACATTGGTTTCTAGTGACTCTTTAAAATTGATCCACCAAAGACTAAGTAACGCAAGTCAGAATATTTGATTTGTCAACTAGGAACACATGTGCATACAAGTTACTCAGTTGGCTTTTATATACTGGTGTTTTGCTAACAAATATGATTATTTGGTCAATCTTAGATTCAGTTACTAAGTAAATTTTATAAAGTGCTAATTTTAGACTGTTAATATAGAAACCAGATATATATGGGAAATGTTTTTTTTCCCTCCAGCTCCAATATCTTAGCAATAAGAGTTTTCTTTCCAAAAGGAAATGTATTTTAAGAGCTAGTTCAGCATTTGATTTATCTCTTGACAAATAGGTTTAAGGTGGTGACCCCTTCACTATGCCCTCCATTTTGTCAGGCTCAGCCAAGTGTAAGTTTTCTTTACTCACCTTAAATGAATTAGAAGAATTTAAAACTAAATAAGAATGAATGTTTATCACTTAAAATGAAAGATAGAAGGCACTCTGCATGTTAAAATAATTTAATTTCATTAATTTGCTGATCAGAATTATCACTTTTAACTGACAGAAAATTGATCACTTAAAAATTTTAAATTTAAGAGTAGTTGTAACAGTCTTCTAAAAAACTGATTTGGGAGAGAGAGGGACATGTATGTTAACAACATTCTCTTTTCTTAGGAACTCAAAGCCCATCATATAAGAGAGCAATTATATACTTTGACAGGTAATAATCACATGTCTGATAGCACTTGGGAATAAGTTACTGAAGATCATCAGAAAATTCTTAAACTCAGTTCTCCTGCCAGTGCAGGTGACAGCAGGAGGTATGGCAGTGCTGTTTACAAGACACAGCAGTGTCTAGGAAAGTGATCATTTGCAGGCTAGAGAAGGGAAATCTTACTGTTTTACCACCACTGTAATATTTGTTGCCATGTGGGGATTGGCAGTGATTAGCTCTGCTTTTAATATAATTGTCATGTGATTTGGAGGACATTCTATCTACTTCCCCTTTTTCACATGTAATCTAGTGAATTATTTTCTCTTTTAGGGCTCGTGCAATTCGTTTTAGGCAGGACAATGACGAAGCAGTTGGAGGGTTTTTCTCTCAGATTGGGCAGTTATATATGGTACATCATCTTTGGGGTAAGAATCTTTTTCTTCTTCTCTTACTGGACCCAGATTCATTGGGATGTATGGTAAAGGTACATTCCCATATAAGCATGATGGTACATGGGGGATATAATAAAGGGAAGCCTTCGCTGCCCATTTTCCTTCAGCCAATCTACTTGTAACAGATGGGAATCAAGATCAAGAAGACCCAGAGATGCAAAGTTAGTGGCAAAGGGCTGTTTACAACCTATAGGCAGAAGCCCCACCAATTAAATGAGCACCATGATTGATTGGCAGCCAAAGGGAGTAAGCAAAGCAGGGAAAACTGTAGGAAATGGTAGAGGTGGAGAAAGCAGTCAGGTGGAGAGAGAATGAAGGCCATAAAAAATGGTGGCATATTTAAGAGAGGGTGATGATGGGAAAGGGGGAAGGAGATGCTGAATGTGAAACAGAAACACATCTGAATCAGTTAACCAACAAATGAAGCTATTTTAAAGAGCCCATCCCTGGGCCTTGCCAACTGACCAAGACATGAAAGTATGTTGGTTAGCGAACTAAATGATACATACCATGCTACCCCAAACCCTCAGCAAATGCTGTTCTGGAATGACAACCAAGATTTCCAGACACTGAAAGGTAATCATTTACATGGAGAATGTTTAAAAATGTACTTTATGGGGCTGCTAGGTGGCACAGTGGATAGAGCACCAACCCTGAAGTCAGGAGGACCTGAGTTCAAATCCGGCCTCAGAACAAACACTTGACACTTACTAGCTGTGTGACCTTGGGCAAGTCACTTAACCCCAATTGCCTTAAAAAAAAAAAAAAGAAATGTACTTCATACTTCCTTGCTTTGTTAACAGAGTTGACTAAGCAGAGTTTAATTTTTTTATTTTTTTTTATTTTTTTTTATTTTTTCTTTATTTATTTTTTTGGTGAGGCAATTGAGATTACGTGACTTGCCCAGGGTCACACAGCTAGTTAAATATGAAGTATCTGAGGTCAGATTTGAACTCAGGTCCTCCTGACTCCAGGGCCGGTGCTATATCCACTGCGCTACCTACCTGCCCTGAGTTTAACTTTTTCTTAATAATTCTAGGACATTATGAGCTTTAATGCATTTGATACACTAAGGATGCAGTATAGCAGACATGTAGCATAGGCAGGGGAGGGATACTGATCCCATCTATGGTCTCAGAGCCTGCTTTCATAGCTACAGGTTGAATTTGTTATATACTTTAAAAAGAAAGGCAAGTTATACGTGGCAGAAACTTGCAATTTCACATAAGGTCACCCACTTTTACTCTTCTCCCGTATATATGGAAATGCCCATTTTGTTTGGTGTTTGTTGAGTTCTGAATAAAAATAAATGAATGTTTTAAAAAATCTTGCTTTCATGAAAAAAATCCCTAAATATCAGCTTATATTTTGCTCCTTTTCCCTCTTCTCATAAAAGTTGAGTGGAACATGTACAGAAGTATGACCATTCAGGCAGCAAAAGAGGGAAAACTCCTTTTTCTGCAAAATTAAATAATAAATCGAAGGCTAATGTGACCTTGTTCCAGATGGCTCTATGGATGTACAGAAAGTCTTCCCTGCTGCCATCATGGTCTTTTGACCCGTCAGCGCTATTTCAAACACTATCTGTAATTTCTCCATCACTAACCTACAAGACTCCACCTATGTCCGTGGGCTTGCGCTCATCTGTCTCCTACTAAGTTTGTTCTTTGGGTATGAAAGAGGGGCTTCTGTCAGCAGGACGAGGACTGGTGCCCGTGCGTCCTGAGCAGGGCCGACAGACTCATTGTCAGCAGGTAGCACTTCTGCTGAGCACATTCTCCTAGAGCTCCTCCTTAGCATTTGACTTTTACAAGAATCCCAGGTGCAATCAGCTTTAAAAGTGCATCGTGAGGACTGTAATACCTGAAGGGCTATTGAAATGCGTTCCTAATGGATTGTTTTCTCATGAAATCCCTCTTGAATATCATCTCCTGCTCTCAGTGATTTTATGAAAGAGGCGACACCAGGTGGAGGGAAGATGGCGAGACATAGGCCTCGACACTCACCCTTCTTCCTCAGAGAGAACCATAGTTGTTAAGCAGTCGAGTAGCCTTGTTATTCTCAAATCAGCCTATAGCTCTAAAGTAATCTTTTGCTGAAAGTACAGAAAGATAATAGCATTAGTTCAAAAAACGTTCTCTGTCTGCTCACGTTTCACCTTGTCCTCTGTTAAGCAATAGGTAAGTAAATGTGGGACACCTTAGAAAGCTCTCTAGTGATGAAATTTGCCAATTTTGAGGGGTTTTCTGTTATAGAAACCTGCAGAGGTAACACGTGAAAGAATAGTTTATCTGACTTTATTTTGCTTCAACCCTGAGGGGACTTAAGCTCCATAGCACAGCCCTCTCTGGTATAAGTTGGCAATTCCTGAAAGTCTCCATGGACCTGTTGGTTATATTATCCATAATGTGCCTGTTTCCATTGCTGCGGTAGACTCTTGCCCCTCAGCTCCCATAATTCCTTCATGGAAGTCCACCCAATACAATGGAGGCCTCCCTCAAGGTCTTATAACATCCCATGGGGACCACTGCTGGGTTCTGACCATTCATTGGTTATCAAGTTAATTACTAAGTATTGCCAAAGTAAACAGGTTTCAGAAACATGAGAAGATTGTTCAGGGGAGAGGGTGCTCAGTAATGAATTGTCCCTCGCAGTTACAACATTCTTCTGTACTGTCTTGATCTGCTATTTTACACCTGCTGTGTTACAGCCTTGTACATTATCTCAGAGATAACTAAAGTTTCTCTTTGAGGATTACTTGCTACTCGGTCCGTTGCCTTTGCTGATAAAAAAAAATCTGCCTTTTCAAGGAGCATTGGGCTAGAGGCCTTCAGGGAGGACCTTCCTGCCAAACAATAGCCTCTCTGATTGAGGTGATTACGTCATGTGGGACTGATTCATAACTGGATGAGTCAATATCTGCAAAGAATTTCACTTCACCTCCTACCTTTTGGGTGCATGGCCTCCCCTTGCTAAGTCTGCTTTTGGAATGCCACTCCTTGAAGGCAGAGACGTATTTTTGCCTTTCTCTGAATCCCCGCTTCTTAGCATAATGCCTGGCACATAGTAGGCACCTAATAAAGGCTTGTTGATCGATCGATTGATTGGGTGAAAATTGTTATCTATGCCTCCCATGCTGCCGCAGAGTTGGGCACCAGGGTTTGCTTTGTCTCTAGCGCTTCTCTGAGCCGCCAATGGCCAGTCATGCAGCACAGTGAGCGGTGTAGATGTGGGCCATGTCCTTGAGGCCTTCATTGTTCAGAATAGGTGGCTGTACTCTCACCTGTGCAGTGGAGACGTTCTCTGTCCCAAGCAGATGTGGCCTGTGCCTTCCAAGGGCCTCTGAGCCTCTCCTTTCCTGGCTTTCTTCTTTTCCTGCTGTTAGTGGCTGCTTACTCGGCACCACCAGTAACCACTTTTTAGGACTGCCACCACCTCTAACCACTGCTGCTTCCCTCCTTTTCTCGTTTCTTTTCCCTTTCTCCTTCCACTCTTCTTGGTCTTTCCAGAAAGGACTGGCCATCATAGATATCATCAGACAAGCAGAGCATTTCTCTCTTCACCTGTGGAAAACCAGCCAATCACAATGTGTCCAACATAATCTTTGGGCTTAAGGTCTTTAACAGATCCAGAGACAGAACTGGAAGGGACCTTAGAGAAAATCCAGTTCGAATCCCTTTTTACAGATGAAGAAACTGAGGCCTTAGAAACATGAGGCAGTTGGCCATTTAAGGTCGCAAATCTGATTGACGATAGCGCTGGGATAGTCATTCTTGCCGGCTGCTGAGGAACTTATCCACCCCTCCTCAAACTCTGTGTTAGGGGGAGAGGAGAGTCCCCGTTCAGAGCCATTGCAGAAGCATAGAAGGCCAGGCGGGCTGTCCTGGAGTGAGCCTAAGTTTGACTGGGCAAATAAGCTATGTGCTGGCATTGCCCATTTTGCCGTTGAATTTTATAATGATCAAATCCTGTTTTTGGATGACGTTCTTTCTCCTTTCAACAATGTTTAAAGTACAATATCTGTGCTCTCTCTTGCTTCACCTTATTTATTGCTGATTTTAAAATTCTTTTTAAAGTCAAATCAACAAACAGGGGCCAGGCACAGAGCTAATTAACAGCATTACCAAGAAAGGCAAAAATGGTCCCATCCCCCAAGGAGCTCCATCTCAGATGTGGAAGAAGTGAACTTGGCATTCAGACCACCTCTTTCCCTTGGGAGAACAGGGCATTATAATCTGCGAAACAATTGTTTGTTTTCTAGTAGAACTAGTGGTTCTATTTTGCCATGTTATCCTGTAGCCGTCATTATAAGTAATGATAGTTTATATCTCTGAAAACTGTTTCCAAAATACCTCTAGTTCTATTCCAATATAACCACTGCACATGAAGCTTTTGAAGGTGGCCTCCTCTCTATCAGACTATAAACTCCTTGCGGGTCAGTAACAATGACGCCGCATTCATCCCTGTATCTCCCACAATGCCTTGCAGTGAGGACAACAGGCACGTCGCCACACACCATAAGACAATGAGTGCCTGTTGGGTGAGCAGAAAGATGAAGGCGTGGCGCAGACTCTCACTATGGGGCACTGCATTTAAACCGAATTCCCCAGCTACCCCTTAATCTTTTTATCACTTAACAAAAGCAGCAAACAACTTGAAATAAATTCTAAAGGACATGGTGATGAAATGTAGGGCCTTTCTGTGGTTTTAAAGCTGACTTCCGTGTGTTTGTTTTCAAGCTTACAAAGATCTGCAGTCCAGGGAAGACACCCGGAACGCGGCGTGGCATAAACACGGCTGGGAAGAACTGGTGTATTATACAGGTGAGAGCTTCCTACGCACTGCACATTTGATGGCCTCGTGCAACGGCAGCGCTGGTTCAAAGGCATTCTTTCAAAAACCTGAATTGGCCAAGAGTTTTACAGCCAGCCGGCCTAAGCATGTCAATCTCTTATATTTTGACGTCTTCTCTGAAAGGCAGATGATTAAAGCACCTACCTCCTGATTGCGCTTTGTCTGCCTTAAGAGTCAGTTTTCTTTAGAACATGCCTCATTGTCATGCCAACTGAAAAACATATTTTGAAAACTAACTCAATTAGGGTAATCATTCAATGAAAACATTGCCTACATACAGCATTCACTTGTTTTTAAGAGAAAACAACTTAAATAAATGTAATGCAAGTGGCTAAGACGCCCGACTCTCTTGGACAATTATTATTAGGAATAATTATCTAAAAACATTATAGAAAGTTGTACAACATTGCTAACCTAGAGCTTGTACATTTGGATTTTTCAACATTAAGAAAATAAAAGAGATAGCCCTTCTGGCCATCTTGTATTTCCTAGGAGGAGAAGAGCAAATGGGGCCATTACTGGGTATTTTTAGTAATAGCTAAATACTCATAATTAGATGTAAGTTCGCTTTTTTTTTTCTTTCTTGCCTTCTTTACAATTTAGAACTGTGAAGTATATTTTGGTAATTATGAAACCTGTGTGTACAGGATGTTTGTTCATGTCTCCACAGCACACACACCATACAAATATAGCATGCAAATATCCCCTGGGGTTGCTTTGTCATTTTATATAACGTCACCTTAGTTTGGAGAAGAGTTTGATGACAAAGCTCTCTCCACCTCCCCCCACCACCACCTAACTATACTTTCGCTTATTTCCTGTACATGAATGTGGAGCCTCAACCAGGATCTGCTCTGGTGGACACTTGTAGGACACTCAAATCCATCCTTGGCAGGAGGGCTGGCTCCAGAATGACTAGAGAACTTGCCTCTGACCCTTCCTACCTGGATGACCTTGGACAAGTCTTGGAATCCCCCTGAGCCTCAGTTTCCTCATCTATAAAATGGGGTGTACAAAATGGCTCCTGAGGCCTCTTTCAGCTCCAGACTCCTAATCCTAGGCAATCATTCTGGCAGACTGCAACATTCCTTCCTGTTTCAAGACAATAAAATAATAACATTAGCTAGCAAGTATACGGGGGTTTAATGTTAGCAGAGCCCTTGACATATGTTAATTCATCTGATCCTAACAGCAGCCCTGGGAGGTAGGGACTCTTATTCTCTCCATTTTAGAGATGAGGAAGCTGAGGCAGGCAGAGGTAAAGTGACTCCCTCAAGATCACACAACTCATGTCTGAGGCCAGATACCAACTATGCCACCTAGAACATTCTGAGTGGTATTATTTGTTTATTTAAAACTTCTATTTGTACATAAAACTCCATGTTATAATATATTTGAGATATGGCAAAGCATGGCTGGGAAGATTGAGCACGCCGTACCACTAACATCAACACAAAGCCGCCTTAACCTGCATCTCTGCCTTCTTTTCAGTGCCCCTAATTCAGGAAATGGAGTCAAGAATCATGATACCCCTGAAGATTTCACCCCTCAAGTAAAGTTGGAATTAATTGTCATGTGCCTATATAGATTTAAGTGACAAGTATTTGTCTTAAATTAATTTTATGGTATACATTGTATATCATGGTGAGAAAGAAATGTTGAAATATAAAACTGCTGTATGTAGCTTATTAGAGAGACCTCTTTTCTTTAGACTCTAAATGTTCATATAAAAGTTAATTACAAAAGAAAAAAGAAAATTGACTCATTCTAACAGTGCTCAGTGGTCTTTGGTGAAATATCACTGTTTTGATCTGACGTACCTTACCCGAGCCCAGTGAGGGAAAAAGGAAACAGATTACAATTTGAATCATTTCCTAATAGGAACTCAATCATGAAACCAATTTATTAATATTTATTTATGATAAGCAAATCTACTGGAGAGTTACAGGGTTCAGATTAATTTCCTTCCTGCTTCAGGAAGAGCTCTGGACTCTGGTCAATCTCTCCTAATTCTAGTATGGTTACTCCAGCAGTTTTTCTGATTATTGAACTAGGAACAAACCATGAACGTGTGTACCCAGCATCTGAAAATGTTCTAATCTATGCTCCTCTGTAATCAGTTGTGAATCCCAGGAGACTGTGACATGGCCAGTCTGGTAGTGGCTGATATGTACGCCAGTTTTGATAAAGCGTTACAATGATGTCTATATGGGGAAAAAAAAAAAAAAAAGAATCACTTCATTGAACCTGTTCTCTGGACTGCATGATCTCTAGTTTTGAAATAAACATCTTGAAGAGCACTGATTTTTTTTAAAAAATATTTTTCTATAATGAAACACATAGCACTAGGAAAAGAGGTTTTATTTTATAAGCAATCACATGTGACCTCAGATGTGTTTTCTCAGTCAATATTTTAATAAACATACAGCAGATCTTTCTGAGGCCATGTGAAGGTGGTGCATGTTGAGATGTTAAGGTTGGCATACAGCAGAGTACTCTGTCCAGTTCTGTCCGATTTCATTTTTAAATGTAGTGTACCAATTTTTTTCATGTCTGTAATAATGTGGAAGTCCTATTGAAATGAACATTTCGTCTGACCCAAGGTTCAAAAATTGCTGTGTGAAATACACTGTATACAAATCTCTTCCCTGGTGTCCAATTTGTACGTGTCAAGGCTTTTCTGCAAAAGCATATATAAAGTCAATAAAATCCTTTTAATTTTCACATGTTGGTGGCATCATTATTGCAGCCCTTTTGTGTGTTTATGTAGTGTCGAATGATTCTCTTCACCAAATGAGCCTGTTTTTCCAGTGTACCTACCGCCAAAAGAACCTCAGGCATTGTGTAATAAAAGCACTGGGTAGGTCCCTTCCCAATATCTCATTTTGGGGTTTTGAGGGCACTAGGTCAGGGGTGGGGAACCTGCACTAAATAATACTGACTTCTCTCAGATTCACAGGAAACAAACAAAAGAGGGTAATGGTGGTGTTCTCTAATGTTTCTGCCATGTAGACACTAGTCTTTTTCCTGAATAAAATCTTATGTAGGAAAGGTTTTGCTCATTTGAATTCAACAAACACTAACAAACATGCACATTTCCATGCAAAAAGAACCACAAAAAAAGATTATATGTGAAATCACAAATCTCACCACACACAGCCTATTGCTGTTTTTAAAGAATATACTTAATTGGGCACATTAGTTCCAAAGCTGTCTTGCTTGCCTGCGTGGCCTCTGAACCTCCTAATCTCCGTGGCACATTTTAAAAATGCTTCGTTGACACTCTTTGCTGTCTTTTTGCCATTGTTATCACAACTCTTTTTATCTTTTTCTCCTTCCCTCCCCCCAAAAAATCCGCTCTGCTTTTGTAGCACATTAGCATAGTCAGGCAATACATTGGCAATATCTGAAAATATATGTCTTATTCTGCACCTTGAGTTCAACACCTTCCTGTCAGGAGGTGGGAAGCATAGTGTTTCATCATTGCATTACACTGATCAGCATTCTTAAGCCTTTCAAAGTTGTTTTTCTTTACAGTGCTGTAGTTGAATTCTTCTTTGAATCTCCTTTTTTGTCATTTCTTACAGTGCAATAATAGACCGCTACGTGACGCAGTGGATAAAGCGCTGGCCCCGGAGTCAGGAAGACTCATCTTCCTGATTTCGAATCCGGCCTGAGACATTTACTAGCTGTAGGACCCTGGGCAGGTTACTTACCCCTGTATGCCTCCGTTTCCTCAGATCCCTAAAATGAGCTGGAAAAGGAAATGGCAAACCACTCCAATATCTTTGCCAAGAAAACCCCAAATGGGGTCACGAAGAATTGAACACAACTGAAAACAATGCTGCAATATTACATTAGATTCATGTCCCATAATCTGTTCAGTCATTCCCCCAAGTAATTGGCACTCTCTTAGTTTTCAGTCCTTTCCTACAACAAAAAGTGCTATCGTGAATATTTTTGTACATATAGGTCTCTTCCCTCTTGTTTTTAACTCTCTAAGGCATAAATTCTGGCATTGATATAGTTGGGTCAAAAGATATGTACAATTTAGTGACTTTTTGAGTATAGCTCCAAATTGCTTTCCAGAATGGTTGGACCTTGGTTCTGATTCTTCCTTATGGCATGACTAATGTGAAAATAAGTTTAATATGAATGTATACATATAGCCTATATCAGATTGCATGCCATCGTGGGGGGGGGAGGGAGAAAAAATTCAGAACTCAAAATCTTATAGAAGTGAATGTTGAAAACCAAAAATAAATAAAAAAGAAATAGTAAAATAAAAATTAATTTTTTAAAAAAGAATAGTTGGACCAATTGTACTTCCACCAACGACCATTACCATACCTGTCTTCCTGCAGCCCCTCCAACAATTATTATTTTCCTTTTTTGTTATCTTTTGACAATCCGATAGATGTAAAAGTGAAACCTTAAAGTTGTCTTCCTTTGTGTTTCTCCTGTTGCTAGTGACTTAGGGCATTCATTTTTCATGATTGTTGATAACATTCTTTTTGAGAAATGCCTCTTTCTATCCTTTGACCACTTATCTTTTGGGAAATGGCTCTTGTTCTTATATTTTTTAATCAACTCTCTATATCTTGTTTGTCAGACTTTTATCAGACAAATTTACTGCATAGATTTTTTCCCATCAATTCCCTTCTAACTTTATCTTCATTGTTTTTAGTTGTGAAAAAGCTTTTCAATTTTATGTGATCAAAATTATCCTTTTTATCTCCTTTAATTTTTTCTATCCCTCCAATGATTAAGAAAGAACTCTTCCTCTATTCATAGTTGAAATAATCAGATTGATTCTGCCTTTTTAAATTGATCCACCTACATGTACAAAAATATTTATAGCAGCTCTTTTTGTGGTGGCAAAGAACTGGAAATTGAGGGGATGCCCATCAGTTGGGGAATGGCTGAACAAGTTGTGGTATATGAATGTGATGGAATACTATTGTACTATAAGAAATGATGAGCAGGCAGACTTCAGAAAAACCTGGAAGAACTTGTATGGACTGATGCTGAGTGAAGTGAGCAGAACCAGGAGAACACTGGACACAGTAACAGCCAAGTTGTGCGATGACTAACGTTGATAGGCTTACTCTTCTCAGTAATGCAAGGATCTAAGACATTTCCAAAGGCCTCATGATGGAAAATGCTATCCACATCCAAAGAAAGAACTATGGAGTTTGAATGCAGATCGAAGCATATTATTTGATATTTCTTTTCTTCTGTTTAGTTTGTTTTCTCTTTCTTGTGATACCTCCTGTTGGTTCTAATTCTACCTTACAACATGATTAATGTGAAAATATGTTTAATAGGAATGTATATGGATAGCCTATATAAGATTGTACGCTGTCTTGGGGAGAGAGGAGGAGAAAAATTTAAAACCCAAAGCTTATGGAAATGATTGTTGATAAATCAAAATAAATTAATAAAAATAAATTTTAAAAATAAAATAAAATTGATCCTATTTATAGTTAATTTTGTCCTGTTACTGCCTAAGCCATGGTTCTTTATCTCTTAACTTAGTTCAGAAATTCAGTTGGCCTATAATGAGTTAAGTTTAGAAATTCAGTTCTGCTAGTCACTGTTCTATTCTTGCCTCAAGAAAATCTGCTGTCCTTGGGGGATATGGGTGGACACCAGAGAGTCTGGCCTAGTATCTTTACACCACCAAGCCATCCTTCAAGGATGTCTGGTTTGCTATCCAAAGAAGTCTGGTCCATTCTCTCTAATCTTACTGGTGGACTCAAAACAATGAACGTTTTTTTAGTCACAGGAGGGAAGGGGGGGGTTGTTGCTCACTTCTCATTCCCAATTTCCAACCAACCATGTTGTCCTCTACACCTCAGCATTGTAACTAATCATATTGATTTTGCCACTTATAATGTCGAGCTCTTTTAACCAATCAGAACTCGTTCCACACCTATGAAGTTCTGTCCTTTTTTCTGTACTGCCTGAAACTATAAAATGGAATTGTCCCCCTTGATCAGGGTTTTAGTGTTGTTGAGAAAGCTGAGATCCTATTTATTGGTAAATTCACTCTTTACTAATAAACTGATCATCCTCAGAACTTTGTGCCTCAGTCTACCTTAATTTTAATTGCTACATAGTTGTGAAAGGTTGTTTCCTGCTCCTCAATTTTATTTATGATGTAACTTTTTAAAAATATCTGTCAGAAATGTATTAGGAACTTATTATGATATGAGATGATAGTCTAACCCTAATTTCTGTCAAAACACTTTGCAGTTTTTGTAGCAGATTTAATAAAATAGTAAGTCTTTATTCCACTAGTTAGTGTTTTGATCATCAAATACTATGCCACTATGTTCACTTGCTTCTGGATTTTTTATTCCTAATCTGTCCCTCAGTTAACTTCCCAATTTCTAAAAAAGTACCAAGTAGTTTTGATGATTATTATCTTGTAGTATGGTTTGGGCTGGTACTGCTAAACTCCCTTCCATCCCACTTCTTTTTATTATTTCCCTTGAGATTCTTGATTTTTTTTGTTCCTCCAGATAAATTGTGTTATTTTATTCTAGCTATATAGAATAAGTTAATTATTTATGAATAAATAAATCAGTTGAGGAAGTATTATTATTTTTTATCATATTGGCATGGCCCAACCATGAGCAATTACTATCTCTCCAATTATTTAGGTCCATATTTCTGTAAGGAATGTTTTGTAGTTACATAATACCTATATCTTGGTAGATGGACTCCCAAATATACTGTATAGTTATTTTGGATAGAATTCTTCTTCCTATCTCTTCTTTTGGATTTTGTTGCTCATACAGAAAAGTGGATGTTTGTGTGGATTTTATATCTTCCTATGTTGCTAAAGTTATCTCAATTTTAGTTGAATCTGAAGGGATTGCTAAGTAGACCATATCTGTAAAAAATCAATAATTGTGTCTCTCTTTTGCTCATGCTCATTCCTATTTTTTCTGTCTTATTGCTATGCATACCATTTCTTTTGTCTTTTTTTCAATGCAAAAGCATTTAATAAATGGCATAGTAAGAAAAGTAGCAACAAAATAACTGTGCCATAAACCCCACAGATACACATAGCATCAATGGGAAGAATGGACATACATAGAGAACACCCTTGGAGAGACACAGATGGAGGAAACGTGAAGCCAAGGTGCATGTGTGGGAGGGATGTGGGACGACCAGCTTACACCTCTGCTGCAGGGCTTCAATTTATTTTTCTGAGGTTGTTATTTAGATTGTCTATTTGTTCTGTTAACCTGAGTAGTTTGCATTTTTACAAATATTCATTCAATTCCTTTAAGTTATCACTTTTGTTGGAACATGAATAAAATAGTTTCTAGTCTGATTTGTTCATGGATTTTGCTTTTTTCATTTTTTTATTTTCTTTGTTTGGTTTTCTTCTCTTTTTAATAAAAGTAGTTAGTGATTTCATCAATTTATCAATTTTTTTTAAATATCTCCTTTTATTTATCAATTCAGAGGGCATTTTTTTGCCTTCAGGATTCAATCTCCTTTGATTTTTCAGTATTTATAGTTCTGTGTTTCAGTTAGGGCTTTTTTATTTATTTCTCTTCTGATATTTTTAGTTTCATGCCCAATTCATTGATCTTTTCTTTTTCTTGTTGATGAAAATGTTTCATGATATAAATTTTCCCCTAAGGATCGCCTTGACTACATCCCAAAATTTTGGTATGTTATTTCACTGTTGTCATTTCATTTAA